GCGATTGCTCGGCCCTCCACTGCTCCCTACTGCCGGTTGCTTGGAGTGGGCCGCGGGGCATGCCGGGCCAGCGATTGCTCGGCCTTCCGCTGCGCCCCACTGCCGGTTGCTTGGAGTGGGCCGCGGGGCATGCCGGGTCAGCGATTGCTCGGCCTTCCGCTGCGCCCCCCTGCCGGTTGCTAGGAGTCGAGGACGCCGCCCGGCCGAGGGTGCTGGCGCCCCGGTTCGTGTCCGCTGGCCGCGCCCGGCCGGGCTGAGGGCAGCGCGGCCGCCCGGGACTGCGAGCGGCGATGGAGCCCGGGAAGGTGGGTGCGGGGGCAGGCGCGGGCCGGGGGCCGGCGGCGTCCTGAGGCTGCAGTGCCCGCTCGGGGACCGGCGGCGGCGCGCGCGGGGCTCAGTCGCTCCTGGCGGGGCGGACGCCGCGGGGAAGCTGCTGAACCGGGGTGACGGGTCCACCGCGCCCCGTCCCGCCCCCGGCGGCCGTGCCCCCGCTGGTTCGCGCCGCCTCACCGGACCCTGCCCGGGCGCCCAGCGGACGGTGTCGCCGGAGCCGCGTTAGAACGGAGGACGTGGCCGCGTGGTGTAAAAAGCCCAGTGTCGGGCGGCACGCCGCGGCAGAGTCCCCTTTCCACCGTCGAGGCCCACGGTTGTGTCTTTTGTTGGTTCTCAGCATCCGCTCAGGCCTTTGCTTCTGGCCGGGCGGCGCCGGGGCGGCGGCCGAGCGCTGGTCGTGTCCGCCGTGGCGCGGCTGTGAATGTCTGGCTCGCACTGCCTGAAACTGGAACCGTCGCGTCCCGGCTTCAGGGCTGCAGGTGCGCCCAGGTCGCTTGAGGTTGAATTCTGGCTTGTGTATTTGCTGTGCGGCCCTGGGAAAATCACTTCACGTGTCTTGTCTCCTGGGTCACAAAATCTGGACGGTAATAGTGGGGTGTTTGTGAGCCTTAAGTGATGTTTTATACATAGAAGCGCTTAGAAAAGTGCTTAGAACAGTGTTATTAACGCTCAGTAAATGGTAACTACTGTTATTCTTGGGGTCTGTTGATTCCTCACTAAAAGATGAGGAATTTAGTTTGCATACGTTTCCTTCTGCCTTCCCTTCTCTCTGTTATTTTTGGTTTTTTTCTATCATTTGCTTTTATAATGTTGAGTAATATTCTTTATTTGTGTTTTATGTTATATCGACTTTGATAGTATCTTTTAACCTCTCGCTGGTTGTAATTAGGAAGTTAGTGTCCTACGCTACCCTCCGTTTATCTTTAAGCCTGTCAATGCCCTGGCCTCTGTTATCTTCTATAACATTCCCTTACAGTTTTGTAGGTTATTCTGTAACTTAAGCTTTCTGTGATTTGTTTACAGGTTGATTTTTAAAACTGAAAAGCAATAAACACTGTAATATCACGATATAAGCAGCGTTCAATGCAGAACTAAGTGGCGTGATTGGACCAAAGAGAAAAAGCAGTCCTTTGTACCTGCACCAGTGCTCCTCGGAGGGCAGTGTTCCTGGGGTCAGGGTCAAGGTCATCTTTCCTGTAGTCAGGTAGTTGTCTTACAAGGAGGTTGCTTCGGATTTGGACCATGTCTTTCTTAAGTGGCCCTTTGATCTTTGTGTATTTCCATTTGTCAATTCTTTTTGGCAAAAAACAACATATGATATTTTTAACGTTATCACATCTTTGAGCTTATTAATCAGTCATAATGTCTGTTTAATGAAATTTGCTTTAAAAAAGATCCTTCCAGAGCTCACTGACTTTCTGTTCTAATTAGGGCTAATTGTTTTGTAGACCTTCGCAGGGTGTCATCTGGGAATTTCTTTTTTTGTACTTCTGGGTTTGGTCTGCTGTTTCTTGGATCCAGGGTCATCATCTTTCTTAAAATCCCCTCTTTTTTCCCCCGGAGTAGATTCTCAAATATGTTTTTCAAGAAGTGTGAGTAGGAGGCAAATTATACACTCTGAGAAAGCCTCTGTTACACTGACATGCTTGTCTGAGAGTTCGCTCAGCGTGGAGTTCTAGGGTCGGAATGATTTCTCCAGGATTCTGAAGACATTCTGCTTTTGTCTTCCAGCAGTCAGTTTGGTAACATTTTCTTTCTTTCCAGAAGATTCAGGCAGTCTGTCCTTGGTTTTCTGGACGTGTCTGGCAGTGTGTCTGTCGTGGGTCTTTTTTCATTGACATTCGATCATCCCTTTCAAAATGAAGACTCAAGTCTACCTTCACTTCTGGAATGTTCTGTGTTTCCCTCTATTACCTTCTCCCTTCCTTCTTCCTGAAACTCTTGTTCAGTCTCCTGTTACGTGTTGAACTCATGGCTCATATTTTTGTCGATGGAAATAATCCATAACCAATCTGTAAATGAAAATTTGGTTGAGTTTATTCTGAGCTGAAATCTGAGGATTATAACCCGGGAGAGTCTTTCCACAAAGGAACAGAGCACTCCAAAGAAGTAGGGGTACATAGGGCGGTTATATACCCTCAAAGAGGGTGTTTCACATGATTGAAATGTCCCTCCCACAATAGTCACAAGATTGCCCTGTCAGCACAGTGCTTGATGGACACAGCAGGTAATGGTCTGCTATCTCTGAGGGCGTAGCAGGAGGCAAGTCTATTGTCTCGAGCTGGGTGGTCACAGGTGAGCGCAGCAATCAGTTCCTAGCCTAAGGGAAGATGCTTAATCCTTAAGGAGATGCCAACAGTTGGGAGAGGGAGGGAAGTTGCACCTTTATCTCAAGGGCCTTTTGCTCTTGCCATAGGGAATCTCTAAAGCAGATATACAATGCATGTTCAACAGCCACGGTCAGGCCCTTTTGGAAAGACAAGGTCAGGCTGAATTAGGTTTATACCAAATGGCTTCCTCATATTCTCCAACATATCCTATTGCTTGCCATTTTTATTTGTCATTTTCCATCTCTTTTTTTCCTATATTTTGAGAGATTTCTCCACCTTTATTGTTAGCTTCATCTGCTTAATGTTTTACTTTGTCAGTTTTAATTTTAATATTAAGAATTCTTCCTTGTTCTCATATTGCTCCTTTTTATAGCATGTTTTAACTTGTGCTTATTGTATTTTAAACTTTTTTTTTTTTTTTTTGCTGAGGAAGATTAGACCTGAGCTAGTATCTGTGCCACTCTCCCTCTATTTTTTATATGTGGGTCGCTGCCACAGCATGGCTGATGAGTGGTGTATATCTGAACTTGAGAGCCCAGGCTGCTGAAGTGGAGTGTGCCAAACTCAAGCACTACACCACAGGGCTGGCCCCTAAAATTCTTTTTGAGGATATTATTGATGTGCCTTTTAAAAAATAAAGATTTCTCTTTATTTTCTTGGATTATTTTTCTTTTAGGGTCATTTTCTCTATTTGTTTATCTTCTTTTCTTTCTTTTGTTGGCTTTTTCTCAAATGCCTTTTTGACCTTTAATATTTATGAATGAAGTACAAGTTTAGTTAAAGTAAGTTTTTGAATAGCAAGGGTTTGCTCTGCTATTGCTTAGCTCTGGTTCCCTCCTAGGCCTCTTCATGAATTGCCAGCAAAGCCCTTGTTCTTAGCTGCTAAGGCACGATCCCAGAGCAGGCCCTGAAATTCCTGAGGGCTCTTCAGCCACCCACCTCTTATCAATAACCAAATATCCCCACAGACATGTGTTTGCCTCTTGGATCCCAAGGAGATCTTTTCTCTCTTGTGTTTTTCTGTTATCTGGCTGGAGTAGTTCACCTAGGTGATTACATTTAGCATTACTTTGATTATCTTGGGTTTTTTTTCTGGTACTTGTTTATTACGTAAATATCTCAAAGTAGCAAAAGCAAGGGAATACAGGGCTGGATGTTTCCCGGCAGCTAATGAATACCTATATTAGGTGCTCAGTTGCAAGTTGGTCATTAGCTTTTTAGGAAGTTAACCTACTGATCATTAGAACCTAATTATGTAATGATTATAGCGTTAGGGACTAATAATTGTAGTTTGTTTCATGGAGTAAAGGGAGCGCTAAAGGCTCAGTGAGGTGATGGAATGAGGCTGTGCTGGGCTTTCTGGCGGTGTTTGGTATGACGTTTGTGGTGCATCGAGCTTTGCATTAGGTGCATGTCAGTGTACTTCTTTGCTCACATAACTGCCGTCACTAACGTAAGCAGTTTTGTGTTCTTTATTGGTACTAAGATCATACCAACGTTCAGTATTTTGTAGCTGTTATTAGACAAGTAAAACTTAACGGTGAGTTTGCAGGCATTACGCCTGCTGGGGAGGAGCGGTGGCAGTGTGCCAGTGGTAGTTCTTTCAAAACATTTTAGGTACCTTGCTTTTGACTTTTATTAATTTTTACGCTCCACAGAAATTTTACAAATTTCTAAATTTTTCTGTTACGTACCCAACAATTGGCAATGCGTGAGTTTGTTAGCATCATGAAATTTATTAATCATAGCTTGAAAGATGTAAACATATAAATGTTTGTATTTAGGTTACCCTTAGAAGGAAATACATTCCTACCCTTCTTTTTTTTTTTTTTTTTTAAAGATTTTATTTTTTCCTTTTTCTCCCCAAAGCCCCCCGGTACATAGTTGTATCTTCTTTGTTGTGGGTCCTTCTAGTTGTGGCATGTGGGACGCTGCCTCAGCGTGGTCCGATGAGCAGTGCCATGTCCGCGCCCAGGATTCGAACCAACGAAACACTGAGCCGCCTGCAGCGGAGCGCGCAAACTTAACCACTCGGCCATGGGGCCAGCCCCTCCTACCCTTCTTTTTAAACGTTGCTGTGAAATACAAGCTGTGCTGTAGCAGTTCACTCTGAACTGGTGTCGACTGTTTAGGTTGGTGCAGTGCTGTTCATTCTGTTTTTATTTTATTTTATTATTTTGTGAGGAAGATTGTTCCTGAGCTAACATCTGTGCCAGTCTTCCTCTATTTTGTATGCAGGATGCTGCCACAGCATGGCTTGATGAGCAGTGTGTAGGTCCACATTGAGGATCTGAACCTGTGAACCCCGGGCTGTGGAAGCAGAGAGCGTGAACTCAACTGCTGTGCCACCGGGCCGGCCCCTCATTCTGTTTTTAGAAAGGCTGAATGTTCTCGGGTAAATCCAAGGGTTGGTCTTCACTAATCCAGTTGTGGGGTTCTCCTGCACGAAACTTTACCAATGTTTTAGTGGCTTCTGCCAGCCTAAGGCCTTGTCAGGGACGACCCAGCCACCTGTGAGTTCCTATCTGGGAAAGCTCAGGGCTGTCAGAAGAGTGATAGTTTGTTCAGCTGATGCCTGGATAGGCCTGCCCCGCTTTCTTGGCATATTTGCAATTGCACATCCTTCCTCTGTCCTTTTGAGATGTCTGTGTGTCTCTACAGCCCAGGAGTGTCTTTCTCAAGGACCTGAGAGCTGTCCTAGAAATGGAGTGCTCGGGAAGGATGGGGCCTCTGCCTCTCAGTCTCTGTGGGAAGGCAGGACCCTGACTTGGACAGCTGCAGCCCACAGACACAGCTGGCCTGGCGGCATTTACACTGACCACTCCTTTGTGATTTTCCCTCCCCTGGCTGCTCCCTTTCACCCATGCAGTAGCCCCTGCACAGATGAGGATGGAGCTCAGCTCTCCCCTGCTGCTGGCAGTTAGCCGGTGTCGGGCTGTTTGTCTCTGACCTCTCCGCACACTGCTAATCTGCAGCCGGGCCTAGAAGGGACTTAGTCTGGGGTCAGCCTCTTCTGCAGATGAGACTTGGTGCTGCCAGAGCTGAGGTGCCCTGTGCCTTGACGTGGCACCCTACATTAGGGCCAGCATCTGCAGAAGCAGCACCCCGAAACCAAGTATTTGTCAACGCAATGTTGGAGACGAGCTACCTGCTCTCAGCCAGGTGGTGAGCAAACTGTGGTGTGTTAATGAGCAGTGTGGGGGGGGGCAGGAATAAGCAGTGGAGAGATCAGTAATCCTACCTGGTTTCCCTTTTCTTCCCTGGCGACCTCACTGCCAGGGAGTCATCAGTTACAGTTGAATAATAATGAGAATGAAGAACAGCCAAGAACCGGAATAGGCCAAATTTATTAATTTGTTACTAAGTAATTGAATTTGATAATACGAAAAAATTAAGACAGCCAAAGGTAAACTATGTCTCAGTCCTAAAGCTGTGTGTGACCACCTCCCCCTCTGGGTCTTTTGGCAAGTGTGCTAGTCTCTCACCCTCTAGGCTGGGTGGATCACAGCCGTCTGCGGCCTCCGGTGGTCCTGCTCCTTCCAGCCTGTAGTCCTGGGAGTTGTTGCTCGTGTCATGTGGGGACACCACCCCTGGGTGCTCCAGACTAGATCCCCGTGGGCCAGTGGTGCTGCAGACACAGTTAGGAGCTGTGCCTGCCGCTGCACGAAAGGCTGGGCTGGGTTTGTGGCAGGGACTGGGCAGGAATGATGAGTTTAGGCAAATGTGTTAGAAGAAGACACAGTGGAACTTGGTGATGGGTCGTGTCTGACCTGAGAGCGGAGTGTAGATGCCTCTTCTACCAGGCCAGTCTTGGCAGCAGCCTGGCCTCCGAGTCCAGCATGCTGAGGGAGACTTAATCCCAAGGGAGAGGTTTGCCGCCCAGTGATAGCTGTTCTCCAACTGTTTACGGAAACCAAGCAACTTAGCTCCTGTGAGCGCTTGTCAACATGAAGCTAACTGGGTACTCTGAGGTTTAGCTTTAGGTTTTGGCAAGTGAGCCAGCAAGCGAGCCGTTGCTCAGCTGTTGAAGGCAGAGGGGAAGCACAGTGCTGCCAGGCCAAGACCCCCGTAAGTGCCTGGTTGAGTCAGTGCAGCTGGTGGGAGTTACGTCCACCGAGGGGTTTGGAAGCAGGTCTGGGTGATGGAGCTGTTTGGTTGGGACGTGATATTCCAGGGATCTGCATGCTGTGGGGAAACTGCTTTTCTCGAAATAGGGAAGCAGGACCAGAGGGGCTGCCTGGAGACACCGAGCCCCAAGCATGACCCTGAGAGTGAGGTGTGGCTTTACTGCCCCTGAACCTGGTTCAGAAATAAACATGGTAAATAGTGTAAAGAGGAACTGGTGAGGTTACCCAGAGTCTTCTCCTTAGTGATGTAGGCCCCAAGGTTGAAGAGTTGTGGCCTAGGAAGAGCAGGAGGGAGGCACGTGTGGCCTGAGTGGCCACTGGAGGCTGGGCCGTGCCTGTGGTCTAACACTTCCTGGGGCGCTCTCCTTTCCTTCTTCAGATTTCAGGATGAGATGAAAGGGTTGTGCAGAGCGTTCCTTTGAGGCCCTGCGTTGACGGGATGGGAGTTAAGTCAGTTTAACCCACTTTATTCTGGAGGCAGATGAAAGGAATTTGAAGATTAGGGTTCTTTCTGTACAGTTCTCCCAAGAGTTTTGTCATGAAAAGGTATTAAACAGTTCAGCTGACTTACGGGATCAGACGTGTGAGGTATTGGTTGGTGGCTGGGGCGTGCTCTCTGGGAGTTGCTGTCTCCCTTCTTCTGTCCATCTTGTGCATGGTGGTCACGTGGTCCAGGGTCTCTTGGTGTGGGTGTTGGGCTCCATGAAGTATATTCTCGGATTTGCTTGGCATGGATGGAGCGGTCCTGTAGCTTGAAGTTGTGCTGTTTGGGGAGCTCTCCCAAGTTCTTGTTTGTTTTCAGGATGGGGTTTACTCCTTGCTGGGGAAAATGCTACCTTTCTACTCTGTGCTTAGAGAGGCTTTTTCTTTTTCTTTTTTTTTTTTGAGGAAGATTAGCTCTGAGCTAACTACTGCCAATCCTCCTCTTTTTGCTGAGGAAGACTGGCCCTGAGCTAATATCCTTGCCCATTCTCCTCCACTTTATATGTGGGACGCCTACCACAGCACGGCTTGCCAAGCAGTGCCATGTCCTCACCTGGGATCTAAACCAGCGAACCGCAGACTGCCAAAGTGGAACGTGCGAACTTAACTGCTGCACCACTGGGCTGGCCCCTGGAGAGCCATTTTTTATTTAACTTGTCTACCTGCTCCCCAAGGCAGGGGCTGAAATGTTGGTCTTCAAAAGACCTTGGCCAAGCAGAGGGTAAACAAATTAGGCCCCTTGTCTAAAGCGCTGTGCCCGTGCACGTGCTGGGTGTGCATAGTTCCTGGGAATGTGTGCGACACACGGGGCTGTGATGGGCAGGAGGGAGCTCTGTGTCACTTTAAAGACTAAGAAATGTAAAAGAGGAAAAAGGGAAGGACAGCATCAGGACTAAGCAAGGCCAGGGCCTGAATTTTAAGTGCTTGAAGCTGGGTTTCTGTTGGCGAAGACTGAAGAGGCAGAGGAAGGATCCTTTGGTCTCTGTCGGAGTTCTGTTGCCTTCAGGGTTTTTTATTTTAACAGCATAAGTAGTATAATTACAACCATTAAGAAGCCCAGTCCGATGGGTTTTCTGATGGATTTACTCTCCGCATTCCTGGCTGGTGCCTTTCCACCCCTGCAGTTTTCCGCTCTGTCGTCATCTCTTCCAGCAACACAGGCTCTCTTGGTTGAGTTGGACCATTTCCTTGTTATCCACTGTGTGTGGAGGGTTGTGTTGCTGCAGCTTGGCACCTGGAGCGGGCAGCTGCCAGGCAGGAATGGTGCAGCGGGGTCTGTGTGAGTCTGCTCCAGAGGCGGCTGCTCCTCAGGCAGCCAGGGACGGTGTTGCGAGGGGGCCTGGGCACAGACAGGCCATGGGTGACGTGGGAAGGTGAGGGTTACGTGTTACCGGGGCCTAGCCGAGCCCTGAAGCGATGTGAACGTTTACATTGTGAAGTAACCAAAGGCACACATTCTATAATCACTTATAGGAAATTTTAGACAAGTGAATGATTTTTTAAAATCTGCATTTCTCTTACCTTTTGTTACGGTAGATAGACTGATTTTCTGCATATTGAGCACTTATTGCCATTGACTTAAGTGGCCTATTGAAAAAGTGGCTCAGTAGAGTGTACAGACTTGGACATTTTAAACTTTAAAAATTCTAACTTTATACTTTTGTTTTTAGAGGAGATCCAAAGATGATACTTGGAAAGCAGATGACCTCAGAAGACACCTTTGGGTAATGTATTTTAAGATTTACATTGGGCTCCATTTGGACCCTGGGAGTCTCCTTGGGCAGTCTGGCCTGGTTCTCAGTGCTGCACAGCTTTGGTTACGTGGGGCCCAGTGCAGAGGCGTTTGATGCAGAGACAAAGCCATGTGGCTAATAGCTCCCAACTGTTGTGAGGTAGGGTTTCCTAGCCCCGCACAGCGCCCACCAGCTCACTCGGGGTTCTGTGGTGGTTCAGGGCTCAGGCAGGCTGTGGGTGTGTGTCTGTGTGTACTTGTGTGTGTGTGGTATATTTGTGTGCATGTGTATGTGTCTTTGTGGTGTGTGCCGTGTGTGTATGTGTGCGTGTGTGGTTTATTTAAGTACGCATGTGTCTCTTTGGCTGTGTGTACATGTATGTGCTGTGTGCATTGTGTGTGTGTGTGGTCTGTGTGTGTCTGTGTGGAGGGGACTTGGGGGTTGATGTGGAGACCTCCTGAGAGTTTTATAATGGGGGTTCTTGTTCTTTGGGTGGGACCCAAGCAGTTAGTGTCTGATACTTTATGACATAGCTTCAGTGTCCCTTTCTTTCTCTTTCTAATCCGTGGAGTATTTGAGCTTTGCTAACAAATGTGTCTCTGATAAATGGGCACCTGTTGCCAGTTGCAGAAATGCTGAGTCTGACTCCACTTACTTCAGGTTCAGAGACTCTTGGTCCAGGCCATCCTTCTGGGATGGAAAGCAGGTGAAGCCAGTGTTCTAGGTTCAGAAGTCCCCTTTCTTTTTCTTGTTTAGGTTGCACACTCAGGTAGTCCGAAGGAAGATAAGAAGCACAGAGAAAAGCTGCCACCTAAGGAGTCAGAAATGGATGTCCCAGAATACAAGGAGCACAGACACAGGGAGCCAGATGGAGACACCAAGTACAGAGAGAGGATGGCTGAGAGAGACGGCCACCCCTCCAGGGAGCCTGCCCGAGGGGAGAGAGACAGAGAAAAGCCACGGGAAAGGAGAAAGGATGCCAGGGACCAGGACAGAGGAAAGCTCAAAGAGAAACATCGAGAACAGGACGCAGAGAAGGCTCACAGGAGGGGAAAAGACAGAGAAAAAGACCAAGACCGAAGAGCTCGGAGGGAGGAGCTCAGGCAGGCGGCCGCCTACCATAACCTGCTGGGCCGGGACGTGCGAGGCTGGCAGGTCCTGGAGAGAGCCGAGCGCAAGGTGCCAGCAGGTGTGCGTGCGCCCGCGGGGCTGTCTCTGGCCTTGAATCCCTTGAGCTGGTGTGGTCCCGGGCTCCCTCCTGAGATGTTGCTCTGCTCTTTGTACATCTTGTTGTCTCTGTTTCTTAAAGGGCTTACTATTGGGGGGCGTTTTCTTTTGAAATGTTCACCCATCATTTTATTTTCTCTCATGGTTTTCATAAATCTTTTAGCTTTGGATTTGAAGTAAGAGGCCCTTCTTGTACCTGTGTGTGTACTTTTCACTGTTGTTTCCTTTTGATATTTGAAAAACTCAGTGAATGAAAGGAGTAACGATTTTCTCGTTGCTGGAATTTTACTATTGAAACATTTTAGATTTGTTATTTCAGTAAACCTCAATCTACGTTGTAAATAAACAGAAATAGTGCTCTTTGATAAAAAGAATTCCTCAAAAGTATCAGTTTTAAGCAATATTTAATTGTTATTTATCTAAATTCCTGGGAATTCTAAGGTAAAAGTGCATGTTTTTCCCCTTCAAATGGAGGTATCTATTATTTTTTATTGTACAAGTAGTATATGCTTCTTATAAAAAGTTCAGACTAGCCAACATAAACAAAAAAGGAATATATTAGAAGGAGACATAATAATCTTTAGAACCATGAGGAGGCGGAGGCCTGGCTGTGAAGGATGGGAGCCATGGCCTTTACCCTGTGCCCTGTCACCCACCGCTGCTGCCTGTTGCTGAGGCCTGGCTACACCTGCAGACTTAGCCCGCTGGAGACGAGGCTCAGAACACGGGTGCGTTTCTGTTGGATGTGGTGACTTAGGGGCAGGGTTGTGTGTTAACGAGGTTGCCACTAATTAAGTTTAGCAGTGTCTATCTTACTATCCAGTGCCCCTTTTTGGGATTGTATTTTGATGTTCATGGTATTTATTTCGGGTAAGATTGTTCTTGTTCTCAGATCATTCTTTTTTGGTTGCTGCCTGATCTTGCCTTTTTTTTTTTTTTTTTTTAAAGATTTCATTTTTTCCTTTTTCTCCCCAAAGCCCCCCGGTACATAGTTGCGTATTCTTCGCTGTGGGTTCTTCTCGTTGTGGCACATGGGACGCTGCCTCAGCGTGGTCCGATGAGCAGTGCCATGTCCGCGCCCAGGATTCGAACCAACGAAACACTGGGCCGCCTGATCTTGCTTTTTTCAATGCAGCATTGAGATGGATTGTAATGGAATGACTGACTGCACCATCAGACTCCTTGACGTTCCTTCTTTCTTCCTTGGTGATTGTCTTGCCTCTACCTCATCTCCTCTGTCTCCCCTCCTGTAAAATGCGGCCTTGCTCTTTGGACCCCTTCTCCAGCTGCCCTCTTTCCCGGCGACCACATCCAGTCTCATGGTTTTAAATATCATTTATCTCTTCCTGATTTCCAAGGTTTTATCCCCAGCTAGGCCTCATCCCTGAATTCTGGTCTTGTATATCCTCCTGTACTTTGATGTCTGGTAGACGGTGCAAACATAATGCACCCAACCGAACTTCTGACTGTCTCGCAGAGCCCCTCCCTCCAACCTTCCCAATTCCAGCCGATGGCAGCTGCACTCTCCTGTCCCTCGGGTTGGGAAACCTGGGATCACCCTGACCTGCTCTTTCTCATCCAGTCTGCCGGAACCTAGCCCTCCTCACCCCTCCACTCCTGTCTCCCTTTCTGAGAGTGAGCTCCGGGGGGACTCCCTACTCCGTTGTTTTGGTCTCTTTTATCTCAGGCTCTGAGAAGAGTGGTCAGGGCTCAGTGAATACTTTTTGAATGAATGAACTTTGCTTCAGTGATGTTTGAATGTTTAATTTTGTCCTCATCTTTTAAAATATTGATTCTCTTAATTTTAAGCCTACTGATGTTTTTGTCTGTACAGGTTCAAAAGTGGAAGTCTGACTTTTCACTCTTGGATGGTGCTGGAGGCCTCATCAGTGATGGCGTGTGGCTCTATTGGTCCCCCGGCAGGGAGAGATCGCAGCTTGGGGTGGGGGTGGGTGCCAGCTTCGTCTCGTGCCAGCCGAGTGGGCTGCAGGCAGTCTCCTTATCCCAGGGCCTCCTGCATCTGTTGCGTCCTCAGCAGCAGGGCTCCAGGAGGCAGTGAGGCAGGCCCTTCCTTGCAGCTGAGCACTTGGCAGAAATGTCTGCCCGACCGGGCCAGTTTTTCCCAGTCGACCGGGCCCTGCATCCCTAAGGGTGTCTGTTAGTGACACAGGTGCTCCGAAGGTGTGTGTGTGGGCTGGTGCCCCTCTCTAGTTGCCTGGGTTGGTCTGACATTTTCCAGGTTGCCTCAGTAGCAATTGCCATTGTGATCTCCTTATTTATTGTATTTTATGTTTAGATTCTAGAACTTTCCATTCTTGAGATTGGAGAATGTGTTTTACTTGAAGCATGTGTTTTCATATGTGTTGATGTATGATTTGTAAAAATGCGATATGTACAGTAAAGACTGCAGCAAGGTGCTAGGAGGCCTTTTTGATGTGCTGAAGTTTGGGAATGTTAAACATACGTTTTATTTTTATAGTGAGTAAAGTAAGAATTGAAGAGAAGGAAAGGAGAGATGAAGACTCTGAACGAGGAGATGAAGAGAGAGAAAGAAGATACCGAGAAAGAAAGGTATTCAGAGCAGGCTGAGGAAGGGTTTTCCAAAGAGAGCAAAGAGAGGGCACTTTAAGCATTATTTTAGGAGCATTTGTGGAAAATTTTGTAAAACAGAATTCAAGGCCTGAGAAAGTTCTGGAGCACTAAGTGCAGGTGGTTACTGCTCCTCACACAGGCAAGTGTGTTTCTCTGATTCCAAGAGTAATACTTGGTTATTTTGGAAAATTCAGAAAGTACAAATAAGTAAGAAGAAAAATAAAAATGACTCCCCAGTCAGAGATAATTATTAACGTTTAGATATATATCCTACCAGGTTTATATATATGTCTGTATGTGTATGTATATATAAACTTTTTTTCTTAAATTGAATTTTTACTGTTTTATAAACTGTTGAAACTGAATACATTTTGGGTATTTTTCTAAGTTATCATATTTTTCTATAATATTATTTTAATGGCTGCATAATATAATATTCAATGATATGGATGTTTCATAGTTTTCTTGACGTGTCTGCTTTTTTTGGACACCTAGGTTGCTTCTGAATTTTTTTTATTATAAAGACACCCGTGGGATAAACTTTTTGCATCTATTCATAATTATTTCCTTCTGATTAATTTCTGGAAATGAACTTGCTGGATCACAGTAAATGTAAATGTTCCCCATTTGCTTTACATAAAAGCTGTAATTGTGTGTATCATCAGAACCGTTCCCGTGTCCTGAGCAGCAGTGGGCGTTGTCGTAACTGGTGGTCTTATGCTTCAGGAGGGAGGGTGCCCTGAGTGCTCTGCTGTGAGCCTGTGCCTCCTTTGCTGGCAGAGTGTCAGAGTAATTTTAAGAGTGCTTTAAAGATGGACTCTCTGCTACTCATTTGTGTGGCTGCTTTCTGCTTGTTTTGAATTTTACTTGCAGAATCTTTGTTTTTATAAGTAAGTTTAAAATTGTGAAGTGGTCAAGTCTGTCTGTTCGTTATTTCTCTTGTTGGTGTAATGCTCAGAGAGCCGTCTCCCACACCAGTGTTAGGTAGATAGTCCCCTGTATTTTGTTCTGAGTTCTTACCATTTCTTTTGACACGTAAATGTTTAATCTCCATAGAATTTATTCTGAAGGGTGTGGTAGTAATCTAACGTCACTGCTGCGGAGTTTGCTCAAGGGCTTGTCAACGTGGGTTTCTGTAGGAAGCTCATCCTGGCAGTGATGAGCGGAGTGGGTGGGAGTCAGGGAGACGCATCAGGGGACTGTTGCGTGGTCTACAGGAGGGACGGGGCGAGCGGGACCACAGGTGCCCGAGACGAGGGCTGTGAGAAAGAGCCCTCCGACTGTGGAGCAGGCGTGCAGTGGTGACCGCGCGGGTGTGAGTGGAGGAGACCTTGAATGACAGGAACGGACAGTTCAGTTTGGGGCTCCACTGAGGCATGCTCCCAGGACTGGACGTCTGAGCCAGAAATGCTACATACTAACACCCGTTCTGCAAATTAGCAGCGCGCCACTTTGTAATGGATGTCCCCAGTTACTACTGAATGTCCACAGTGGTTTTGGGGATGCAGAGGTGACTGACTAAACAATGGTGCCCAGTTTAAGAATCTGCCTGTGGGTGGGGAGTGAATGTGTGAACTGCTGAGGAGGGATAGACTGATGGGACACGCTGTGGAAAGAGGCACAGCAGCATGCTGCTCACGGAAGCTAGTGTCTTCCTGGAGCAGTCACACACCTGTCACAGGAGGGGCTTCTGTGTCCGTGGAGCTCAGCATGTGTAGGAGCTGGGGAGAGGGTGACAAGAATGACAAAGACGAGGCTGGAGAGGAGAGGAGGGGCTGGGCTGTGCAGGGCCGTATTTGCCACGCCAAGGAATCTGGACGTGGTTTCCCACGTCAGGGTGAGGGCACTTGCTGCAGTGTTGCTGTCATCCTGTAGGGTGGGTGGCCCAGGTAAAGTGGAGTAGTGGGTTTTCTCTCTCCAGAAGTTCGTCCTCAGAGTAGGGTTTTAGGAACGTCCCTGCAGTGCGATAGAAGAGTAAGGGGCAATGGTAGTTCTGTGGCTTTCCTCTTTATCGTAACATGTACGAGACGTGTGCCTGTGTTCTGTGGGCTCATGTGTTTTTCCTATGTCATGTTCACAGTTGCAGTATGGTGACAGCAAAGACAATCCTCTTAAGTATTGGCTTTATAAAGAAGAAGGTGAAAGAAGACACAGGAAGCAGAAAGAACCGGATCGAGAAAAGAAACATCGAGAAAAAAGCAGCACAAGGGAGAAAAAAGAGAAGTATTCCAAAGAACCAAGGACTCCATCCTCTGACAAGGAAGGGGAGGAGAGGCATAAGGAGAAACGACACAGTGAAGGCTTCCGTTTGGATGACGAGAGGCACCGGGGTAGTGTGGATAAGAAAGAGAGGCCATCAAAGGAAGAGCCTAGGAAGAGGGAGTACAAGGTACCATTTCCGATGCCCTGTTGTCTGTGTAGTTGCCTGAGATCTGCCGTCTAAGGGAAGCCCCATCAAATGCACCAGATCTCAGACTCATTGCCTGAGGGTGGTGACCTGGATAGAAACGTGAGTCAGCTCTGTCATATGATCAGAGAGAGAGGACTGACCTTCTAGGAAATACGAAGCAGAATCTTCTCATTATATCGTGAATGTACTTTAGTGTGTATTCAGAAGTCTGTCATAACTTTTTGAAATTTAACAGAAAAAGAAGCTGATATTTTTTAAAGTGAAAATTAGGTAAATAATTTAGCAAAATGTTTCACCCAGAATTGGTAATATAAGTTTGCAAAACAAAACAATTTCCCTCCCTTATCTCTATGTAATTACTGTACTGGCTTAATATTTTCCTACGCTCATTTCAGTATACACTGAAATACGCTTTTTGCTGTGCTGTTTTTCCAGAATCTGAAGTGAATGTGATTTCATTTTCCTGTTTCTTGGTGGTGCTCCCTTTCAGGTGGAAGCAAAATCTCCTTGTGGGGTCAGGTACTGTGAGGCTGAGGAGGGGCAGGGCTTCAGTGGCAGAGACCAGGGTGGTCAGCCAAAGCCCGGGATCTCTGATGGGCTGGTGCTTGTCCACGAAAGTGTGCATGTGTTTCCTGAGCCATGTTTTTATTAAGGATATCTCGAAAAATTTTTGTGGTTGCTGCCTGGCCTCATGGGGGTCTTTGCTGGCCTCTGCACTGCCACATGTGATAGATCAGCAGCCTCCTGTGCCTTTCCCCACACCTGTCCTCACAGCAGGGCTGAAACCCCACCCTGTCACGTGCAGCCCACTGCCTTCCTTTTGGGCCAGAGTGCGGGTTGTGTTCTTAGCAGTGACAGGACCGCCCCAAAATCGGGGTGGCCCTGTCACACATACATACACTTGTGGTGTCTTAAGGCCTGGGTTTCCCTGAGGTTAGCCACGTGTTTACATTCCTAACTACGTATTTCTTGTCAAAAGCTAGGAGAACAGGAACTGAGAATGAGATCCTCACAGAGAGGATAGGTGTCCATTCTTCTTGACTTTTAAATTTCTTTCCCTAGATCAAAAGCTTTTCAGTGTTTTTTCCCAACATTTTATTATGAACATTTTTAAATCTACAGCAAAGTTGACAGAATTTCTACTACCTGCATCCTACCACTAACATTTTATTGAATTTGCCTATTTTATATTCCCTAGATGAGATTTATTTACTAGAAATGACATGGTTCTGTGGGTTAGTTGCCCACAGAAATGCCTTTCTGAGACACATCAGAATATGTCCGTTTGGCTTTTATTAAGGGTGGATGTAAGAAATGGTCCCACGAAGAAGATTCTTCTGCCTCTTCATAAGACCACTGCCTTCAGCAGTGCTCCTTCCATGAGGATTCACATAATAGTTAGTCCGAGGAAGGAGCTGCTTCTGACGCTGACAGGCTTCCTTTTTAGACGATTTTTAGAGAGGCTGCTGTGAGCCAGCCTCTGTTCTGGGTGCTGAGGACACAGCTGTGAAGAAAGCAGAAGGTTTCTGTTCATGGTGCTTCTGTTCTGTTGAAGAAGCCATGTGATAAAGAAATAAACAGATGGGTATGTAATAGAGTTTCGGGAGTGATTAGTGAGCTTCAGATAATCAACTTTTTCTTTGCATTGACTCTCAGGTACTCAAAATACACTTTTCAACTTAGTTCCTCTGTGAGCTTGGTGATGGTGTGGTTATCCCTGAGGAGACCATAGAGAGCTGGGCTGTCAGTGATTAGGCCAGGACAGCAGGTACAGACCAGGGCTGTTCCCAGGAGTCTGTGTTCTCCTCAGTGCTCTCTGTCTCGTCGGGATTTTTGATCCATTATTTTAATCATATATATCTTCTGTTGTGCGCCTCCTCCAGTTTTGGATTAGAGATGGAGAGTCTAATTAAGCATAATAATACAATACAGTGTCTTCTAAAGGTTACTAACCAGTAATGACTTCTTCAGTGCAGGAATCCAGTGACCTGGTGCCTCTGTCACCTGCGGCCCTTTCATCCTCCGGAAGCTGGATCCTGCCCCTGTCTGCTCCTGGGCGTGGTGACTTCACATGTCTCTGTGAACATCGGTTTCTAGCCCAGAACCCTCCTACCCAGCCCACGTGGCTTGGAGGCAAGGCACCGAGCTCACGCTCTAGCTGTGCCAGATGCAGGGTTTCCTCTTCCCCGGGTCCTAGGAATTGCACTAATGGCCTGAAAATGTGATAAACCAGCCTGTGATGGCTGCCTCATGTGCAGTCTGTCCAGCGGGCTCTACCACGGGTCAAGACCCTCAGTGCGTGGTCTCCTCTTGTCCCTCAGAGTTAATTCTTAGAACTAACTGGATTACTTTTTCTTCTTTGTTATATCTACATAGCCTTTAAATCATATTTTTTTCCTACCTAGCACTACTGATTTCATTCTTTTTCTGTTCCAGTCTATTTTATAGACCAATGCCAGACTGTTCTTCCTGTTAAACATGTAATTATACTTTTTCCTAATTAATTTTGGAAATTTTTTTTTTAAAGATTGACACGTGAGCTAACAACTGTTGCCAGTCTTCCTTTTTTTTTTTTTACTGCTTTTTTCTCCCCAAATCCCCCCAGCACATAGTTGTGTATTTTCAGTTGTGGGTCCTCCCAGTTGTGGCATGTGGGACGCCACCTCAACGTGGCCTGACGAGTGGTGCCATGTCCGCACCCAGGATCCAAACTGGCGAAACCCTGGGCCATCGAAGTGGAACACACGAACTTAACTACTCGGCCACGGGGCCAGCCCCTGGAAATATTTTTAAACACAGAAGAATAAAAAAATAAAACAAAAATTACCCACAATCCCAAAGTCAGAGAGAATCCATTCTGCAGTATGTGCGTATATCCTCGCAGTCCTTTTTCCTATATGTAAATGAACTTTCTAAAAACACGACATTGGAAACATGCTAATTTTTTCTTTTTATTCTGGGAAATACTTTTTAATACTGGGATATGTAAATAGCCATCTGGTGTTCTATCATGTGGTCATAACCCATATATTTAATAAGTAACCTAATATTGAACATTCAGATTACTAGTATTTTTTGATATTACAACTTATTCTGTGATGAACAGATTGAAAGTGTTAATACATGTCTTTGCTTGTTTTCTGGGAATAATTTCCTAGGAGTAGAATTCATAGGTCACAGAAAGTGTTCGAATATTTTTAACTCTTGTTAAGGCTTTGACCCATGTTGCATGTTGCCCTCCAGACTGACCTTTCCTAGTGGGCGGTTCAGTCCTGCTGTTCTTCTGCTTTGTGCTTTCTGTGGACCAGCCCAGGTCTGTTGTCTTGCTCTGCTGGGGGGAGGCGTGCTCCTTCACCTCCCCTGGGTCTTCGGCATCCAGGATCGGCCTCACGTCCCTCTTCTGCCAGTGCTTGCTCAACAACTGTCTCTCCTTTTAAACAACCTACCTACATATGTTGATTTACAATCTAATCATTTTAATTTTATTTTTAAAAATTCATTAATTCAAGAGAAGATTGTTTAAATTTTTTTCCTGTAGGTACGTATGTTTGAAAGCTTATAATTTTAAACAGTGTAAGGAACTAGTCATATTTATCTGAAAATAATGTGAAATTGATAAGTATAAATTTCTTTACCTACTGAGATAATATATAATCACCTTTTAGTATGCCTCTATCCATCTCCCTTATGTTAATTACCTAATTTCCTAAAGACAACTAGTAAAAACTCTTATCTTGAAAGATACCAGTAGCGTAGATACTGTTGTTAAATTCTGAGTCCGTGGTTGTTTTACAGAGTTTACTAATTCACAGTGGTTAATTAATGGTTGTGGAATTTTTTTTCTTTGATAGAATGGTGAACACAGAAGTCAAGGTACAAGTTCAAAGAGAGATGGGACTAGCAACCAGTAAGGAATGTCTGTTCTTCCGTTGATTATTATGTATAACCCAGTTCTCACAGAATGCCTTAAACTGAATTTTTCTCATTGGGCCTAATTCTAGCCTGTAAATGAGAATAAATTATGGATGTTTAGATTATGGATCAGACGTAAGCCCTCCAAATTATATTTTAGATTTACTACAGGAGCTTGGAAACTTGTTATAAATTATTAGCCTGATTTTGCCGTTTTTATATTTGCTCATACAAGATTATAGAATCACTACATCAGTAATTTTATGTGGGAGTCTCTGAATGCGTGAGCGGCGGCCCCTCAGCTGCACACTCACGGGCTTAAGAGGGCAGAACATTTGCAGGTGGGCCATTCACCTCTACTGGCTCCTGAACACACGGCCACCGGCAAATCCCCGCTGCCCGATGTTTGTGAGTCGGACTACAAATGAAAGAGGCTTCCTCGGGCAGTGCAGCCCCGGCGCCTGAGTGAGAGCGAGGACGTTGGTGCCAGCCTGCAGGAAGGCTTGGCTGCCTTTTTCTTGGGGTGCTGGGTGGCCCTGCAGAGTCTTTTCTTCACTGGTAAAACTGAGAATAACTTTTGTGTGGGTTTGTGGAGGTGACAGTTTAGAGTTTGTCTATGAACTCTCATTTTGTGTATAAGCTCTGCATTTTAACTTCTTCTTTCTGACAACCATACTTGGTGATTCTTTTTCACAGATTAGGAGAACCCATGCTAAGTGCCTTGCTGAGACTCATAAAGCAGCACTTAGGCCTGGGGCGCAGACTCCTGGGCTGTGCCGCGGTCTGCCAGGCGCACGGGGCAGCTTCTGCTCATCTGTGTGTCTTTTAAACCACAGGCTATATTGAATCGGTGTGAATATAAGTTCTAAAAGTTGAGACTCAATCTGAAATTTTGAAAGCCTTAATTTTAGGTCCCAACTAACATATAAAATATGATTAAAAATTAGAACATGTTTAAAGATAAATCTTTCTTTGTAAAATATGGATATGTATTAAACATAAAATAATATTTGAGTTTGACTATTAAGTTTACAGGAATTTTCTAGAACTCTTATAAGGATATAGATTTATACACACACAAGTTTGTTAAAACACATAGGTTTTTCTCTCTACTTAAGATGTTTTCTATCTTGGATTACTGCTGAAATAGTAAAAATATTAGGAAGACTTTAGTATTCATAGTTCTAGTAAAGCATGCTTTGGAAATCTGCCAACCTACAGCAGTTCTTAATCATATTAAATATTGATAAGAGCCTTCACTGAGATGTAAAATGTTTTATTTTTTAAGTCTTCATTTAAAATTAATTTTCATTTTGGTCATATTTGGTTTCCAGGCATGCAGAGAATTTAGTAAGGAATAATGGAAGAGATAAAGACGCAAGAAGGAAGGTAAGACACTTACACTGATGTTATTACGCAGTAAGGTCAGCCGTATGTCTGCCTGCGTTTCCCCTTGAAAGCAGAGCCTGAGGCAAGCCTTGTTTGCAGATGGTTATTTGAGTGGTGATTCCAGTAGGCATATAAGGGATACACCTGCTATTAAAAGGCTCAAATAGTTGAAAGTAAAAAGATGGACGAGACAAACCATCAAACAGCAGCTGTAACAGAGCTCGAGTAGCTATACTAGTGTCAGATAAAGTTGACGCTGAGATGGAAGGTGTCACTGGAGTTGGAGGGACAGTTCATAATAGTGAAATAATTAGCTTGGCAGGAAGATGTAACAGTTAAAATGAACACACGCCTAACGAAAGAGCCCCAAAATGCAAGAAGCAAAGCCTGGTAGAACTTAAGGGAGAAGGAGACAATTCAGCAGTAATTGAGATTTCAGCATCCCACTGCCACTAATGAGTAGAATGACAGCATTTCACGCTGACAGATTAGACACTTGGATGAAAGGGAAACATTCCTGGAAGAAGTCAGTTCCTGAAACTGCCTTAAGAAGAAGTAGAAAGTCGGAGTAGGGGCTGGCCCCGTGGCCGAGTGGTTAAGTTCGCGTGCTCCGCTGTATGCGGTCCAGGGTTTTGTTGGTTCGAATCCTGGGCGCGAACATGGCACTGTTCATCAAACCACGCTGAGGCAGCATCCCACATGCTACAACTAGAAGGACCCACAACGAAGAATATACAACTGTATACTGGGGGACTTTGGGGAGGAAAAGGAAAAAATAAAATCTTAAAAATAAATAAATAAATAAATTCCAGCAAGTTCCCATAGTTAGCTCAAAAAAAAAAAAAAAAGAAAGTTGGGGTAGACCTATAGTGAGTATAGAAATTGCGTTGGTATTAAAAATCTTCCCAGGAAGAAGCCCAGGCTCGGATTCCTCACTGGTAGGTTCTGTCAGACGTGTGTTGTTGATGCCAGCACACACTCGCAGTCTCACTCCTCACGTGCGTTGTTGATGCTGGCACACACTCGCAGTCCCACTCCTCACGTGATTGTTCCATGTTCCAAATTATCTGTGTGTGTTTGTGATAGTGAGAGTCATAATGTCTGCTGATTTTTCATTTAGTATGGCAGCATTTTTCCAGTCTTCGTTTTTTTCCATCTTCATTATCGTCATCAGAACAGTCTTCATAGGGATTAATTTATAACTATAAAATGGTACACTGTGGCCTTATTACTAACGCTTTTTCCTAGTTTTTTGTTTTGTTATTGATAATGTGGCAAACAGATTTTGGCTTCTATTATTTCTGAAGAATAATTTTTTTCTTCCGTTGGTAGTTATCTCAAACTCATGACTCGGAGGTAATCATCTTGAGCATTTTGTGCCGTGTTTTTATGTATCTCTCTCTTTATTCCATATATGTATGCACAAACATAATTTTATGCAAATTAGGCCATCTGGTATGTGTTGTTTTGATGGGGGTGCGTTTTATTCATTTAGTTTTGGGGGGTGGTCGGATCCTTAGTATCTAGGTCTAGCCATACCAAAGGAAGAAGTTAGCCTTACATGTATTTCTTCCCATATAATCTTATTTTCTTATATCATCTTTTACAATCCTTTATTGATATAGATGAGTGTTGTAGATGCGTTTTTTCTGTTTTACACACACACGCCCTGTGCAGCTTACTGTTTTTCCCAATTCATTGTGGAAATGCCTCCAGTTCTAATGGTAGAGATTGCCTTCATGCTTTTTGTGAGTAAATTTCTTGAAGTGGAGTTATTGGATGAAAACATATCTTTTTTTGTGTTTTCCTTATGTTTCCCAATTTTTCTGTAAGCTCTAGATTAGCATTGTTCACTAGAATTATGATGTGAGCCATGTTTGTAATTTTAAATTTTCTAGTAGTCACATTAAAAAAGTAACAAATACACATAACATTAATTTTAATAACATGTTATATAATCTAGTATTTCTGAAAAATATCTTTTCCATGTGTAATCTATATGAAAAATTATCGAGGTATTTTCTATTCTTTTTTTTGCCAAAGGAGCAAAATATGTGCTATATTTTTCCCCTGAAAGATTCCAGAAGTGAATTTGAAGATATTTGGCAGTTTGTGTTGGTTGTGATTAGGTCATTTGTTTTATAGCATCAACACTGAATTTATCTCGGTGTATTCTTCAGCATTTGTGGACAGCCTACGCTGTGCCAGAATAATCCTCTGGACACACAGAAGACTCCGTTTTCCTCATGGTAATGCGCCGTACTATCTCGTTTTGTGCGCAGAATAGTTTTGGGCAGTGACGTCTAAGAGCCGTGCCTTTATGGCACCAGTAGCTGCAACAGGACTAGCCCTCAGTTCTCCCACTGTGGCAGGGTGCTGGTTTTGTTTGCTCCTCCCGCTGGCACTGGGAAATGGGTCCCCTCTTCTCAGTGTCTCTCAGAGGAGAAAACCGAGCACAGGGGGCTGTGATACTTGCCCTCCATCATGCTGTTTCATCCCCCTCAGAGCCGGGACCGAGTCCCTAACCACCGAGGGCAGCGCCTCCACGAGAGGAGTGGGTGGCACCTGTCCCTCTGCTGCTGACCCTGGCTGTGCTCTGTCCCTATCACGGCCAGTGCAGAGGCTTCCTTGGTGTGGACGCTGGCTCCCAGGCATGGAAGTGAGGATGCTGGGGTCAGGAGAGCCTGCCTCTCATGTCTCGTCAGCCCTGTGCAAATGCAGGCTTCTACTTGCATTTCCTTGTCGAGCAGGACTGCTTGTGTGGGTGATTACTCTTCCTTGTGGACAGTGAACACTGGCATCAAAGGAGGGAAGAGATTTTAGTTTTTCCTTTTTTGTGGAAGGTTAGCCCTGAGCTAACATCTGCCACCAATCCTCCTCCTTTTTGCTGAGGAAGACTGGCCCTGAGCTAACATCTGTGCCCATCTTCCTCTACTTTATGTGTGGGACGCCGCCTCCGCATGGCCTGATGAGTCGTGCCATGTCCACACCCGGGATCTGAACCCACGAAATCCCGGGCCGCCAAAGCAGAATGTGTGAACTTAACCACTCAGCCACTGGCCTGGCCCCATGAGCTTTTAGTTTTCATGTGACATTTGTATTCACACTTGTTTGAGAGCCCTGGGTCGTGCTGGAGGCAGTCTTGGTGAGGGGCTGGAAGGAGGTGACAGGTTGGCCACGCGGGCTGTCAAGTGCCGAGGCCACCGCCCTCCGTGTGGAAGACGGAGGTTTGCAAAGAGTGTTGCGGAGAAGAGGCTCAGGCTGAATGAATAGCCAGCCTTCTCTTTGTTGCTCTGCATTTACATTCAGGAAGTTTGGGGAGAAACAGAGACATCACAAAAGACGTGATTCAGGCTGTTGTCCGTGAGAAATATACAAGGTATCAGATAATTTTCAGAAATATCTATTATTCGGAGAGAGATCAAGGAGCTGGCGCTGTCCTCTTGTAAGAGAGGATCATTGATACTCTGAGGACTTCTTTCCAAAACTGGATGGTAAATCAGAAGGCCTTCTGCTTAATGCCACCAAGGGAGGGACAGTTGAGCTGCTTCTGATGGCACCTTCTTGTCGTCTTTTCTAGCATTGTTGACTGCACAGCAGTCCTCTGGGTTCTGGAGATAGAAGAGGACGCCTCCAATTGGTAGATGTGTCGCTGAGTGCTTCCTGACCTCTTTCCTGAGCTTGAGTCTGTTGGTCTGCCCTCTCTGGCGTGTTCCACCCTTCCTCTTCATACTTGCCGTACCCAGCTGTGCTGCTGTCCGAGTGTCCCCTCCCCCGCCTCCGTCCCTGTAGTCTTTATGGCACTGACACCTAACCAGTTTTGAACCTGAAAACGTGGGAGTTGCTTCTCTCTTGTCCCTAAGCCCAGGTCGCCCTCACTCATCTGGGTTCTCGCAGCAGCCGTTCCACCCTCATCGCGAGTCTAGTCTTGGCTCCTCTGCACCCCAGGCTCTCCCTGCCTGTGGGCACCAGAGGGTCTTGTTCACAGGTGTGTTTTGTTTCTCCTCCCCTGGGACAGAAATTCAAGCCCCTTTGGCGAATGTGTAGTGCATGCGAGGAGCTACTTAGCTTTAAATGCGGGCATGGTATGATCAGAACGCTGAGAGGACGAGAGAGGACTGGGCCGGATGGTGGGTAGAGAGGTCAAGCCTGGAGAGATGCTGGAGTTCAGCTCCCAGGTCGGGTGAGTGGGGGCCTGGAGGGCTCCTGATACGCGTGCTCCTGTGATTTGGAGGTGCTGTGTTGCCAGTAAGTAGGACATGGGAGAGCAGATATGGACAAGAGGAAGAACAGCTTTTGGAGGAAAATATGAGATGTCCAAACATATATTTCATTTTTGCTACCGTCTTAGCCTGGAAACCTGGGATGTGTTTCTACTCTGTCTTCCTGTAACCTCTTACTCATCCTTAAGACCCAGACCAGGATGGCCTTAGGGTGGTCTGTGCAGCCTCCCCAAACCTCCAGAGCACAACCGAGCATGCCTCCCACTGCAGGATTTACGAATCCCTCGGTTTATCCCCAGATTACGGGTGATGAGATTCAGGCTTGGAGTGGTTAGTGGTGACCAAGCGCACTCAATACTAAGGAGCAGGCCAGGATTCGAGCAGCATGGCTCCCCTGAAGGAAAAGGACAGGGCTGTGCTGAGTGAGAACTCCATGCCCTGAGATCTCGTTGTCGTCTATACTTCAGTCATTGGGGCGTGTGAAGCTCAGACAGGACCTGGCTGGCGTGTCCTTGAGCGCACGCTCTTAGCCGTGCACACGGGGGATGCGCTCATGGGTAAGAAATGAAATAGGGAGAGGCGTTGCTGGGAGTTTGGAATTTATTTGTATAACACTTTTTTTCATTAGCCATCAGAATTATAGAGGTTTCTCAAAAAGGGTATGTCTCTTAACTGTTTTCTCTTTTTGGTCATGCTTATAAGATAGCAGGGTATTTCTTGACGAACTGGAAATTAGGTTATGTTGGTTTTATAAGTACTTACATTTGTTAATGACAACATTAAATGAAACTCAGAAAACATGTATTTTCCCACTTTCTTTGCAAGATTCAGATTTATGATTTAATTTTTTTATGTGTTTGATTTTTGTGTCTAGGAAATTGAAAAGGAAGACATTGATTTAGAAAATGGTGGAGCCGATGAGTATATAGCCAGTTTTGAAGATGATTGTGAAGTATGTATAAAAGTTAAAACTTTGCTGGGCTTAAAAACAGCTTTGAACATCAGCTTAAATATAGTAACCTAATAGCTTTCTTCTCTTTTTTTTATTACTTTTAATATTCCATATCTGTTTGATTTAGATCTGTTACCTATAAAAGGTTTGCTATAGTTCTACCAATGCTTACTGATATGATATAATTAAATGATTTTACAATTTAACCCATTTTTAAGTGCACTGCGTTCAAACATATATATGTATACATGTATGTGTGTATGTGTGCGTATAGTATGTGTATATGCATGTGTGTGTATGTAGAGTATACATATAGCTCGTATATTTATATATACGTACACTGTCACATTCTCAGCACAGGAATGTTTGCACATTATTGTTGTTAAGAGCTCCTCCTGTATGTAGTTCTGTAAGTGTGATTCATTTTTAGAGAAACAAATGCAGCAGTTTATACAAATTTATAATTCAGTGACGTTGAAATCAGTGAACTATAAAAAGTCTTTCTTAGACGCAATGAGGACTTTGTCTATTTTACGTTATATGTTTTGTTCCGTATGAGTGTTCTTAAAGTCAGTTTGTCGTAAAGGTTGTAAAAACGTTGTTTTGTTTGTAGGACTATGAAGATGACTTTGAAGTCTGTGATGGAGATGATGATGATAGCACGAATGAGCCAGAATTGAGAGAAAAAGTCCAAGAACTTCCTCTAGCCAGAAAGAAGGAGATACAAGAAATTCAAAAGGCCATCAGTGCAGAAAACGAAAGGATCGGCGAGTTGTCTTTGAAACTGTCTCAGAAGCAAGGTCTAATGGACCGCGAAAGGGCGTCCCGGCCGGGTACGTGAGTAAGTGTTGACGTTCCATGCTCTCAGGACGTGCACTGAAACCCCACAGACAGTTGTCATGGGCGGAGTGGCTCTGATCAGGTGGCAGGCGAGGATGTATTTCCTGCCCCGTGAGGATGTCGTGCTAGGCCCTTGGAAGATGTTGGTGATGTGCGTGAAGGGCTCTCTCCTAGAAAGAAGTTTCAGTAGCTTCTCTGTGCAGCCCCTCCGGCCAGGGTGGCCATAGAACGGTCACTCTGGAGGCCCTCGCAGGGGTCACCAGGCCTGGGCATGGCCATGTTCATTTGTCCTGTGTTGTCCCTCTGAGGCATGTGCTCTTGTGTTTCTGACACTGCCGTCCTTGAGTTTCCAGAAAGGAAGGTGACAGGGTCAGCAGGAGGTCAGCTGAGAGCCTCTGTGAGGTGACTCGACCCACCCAGTGGGGATAGGGTTCAAGATCTGGCCCTGGAGTGTGTTCTCAAGGGCATGCCTGAGGAAGCCTTTTTTCCCGAAATTAGAAATATGTTTCGCTTAAAAACTCTTGGCATCTAGATATGATAAAGTTACTTGTAAGAGTACACTAAATATTATAAAAGCACTTAAAGGGAAAACAGACATTCTGATAACGAATTAGCACTAAAAAATAGCACGAAAGGTCAAATAGGACAATATTAAAAATGTTACTGGCTAATATACTTTAAATTAGTAAAATAATGAATAATTAACACAATTAATTATGATTAGCAATTAATATGATATAATAATCCAAATGAAAGTTAGGCAGAAACATTATTACTCTCATATTTTGGGCCTGCTCAGAGGTAGCAAAACTGAGCTGGGGAGGGCGGATATATAGGATCTTTCCTAAATTTGTGGCTAAAAAATGTCTCTGAAGCCTGGGGAGCCATCTTGGTGGGGGCTGTGCCTGGCGAGTGTCCGTGCCGTGATCTCTCACCGTGGAGCAGCAGTGTGCACGGGGAGGTTTTCCTGAGAGCATTCCCAGCTCGCCTGTTGTGGAGTTGCTGGCAAGTGTGCAAGATTTTATTCTGAAGCCCGGTTTTCTTAGCAGATTTTTGAGTAACTTTTTTTTTCAATCATTCGTGTCCTACACTGTGCTGAGCACTATATCCTTTAGTAGCCTGATTAATAAGATTAGGATTTACAACCCGAGATATAAGGCATTACTTTTTGTTATATTTTTTATTTGAAGGAATTATTCACTCTGATACACATTGCTAGAGTTAGAGCCGCCCTCTGGCTCCATTTTTAAAATTTTTTATTGTGGTAACATTGGTTTATAACATTGTATAAATTTCGAGTGTACATCATTATATTTCAATTTATGTCTAGATTCCATCATGTTCACCGTTCAAAGACTAATTATAATCCATCACCCAGCACATGTGCCTGATTGCCCCTTTTGCTCTCCTCCCCTCCTTCCTTCCTGTCTGGTAACCACCAATCCAGTCTCTGTTGCTATGTGTGTGTTTGTCGTTGTTTTTATCTTCTACTTGTGAGTGAGGTCGTACAGTATTTGATTTTCTCCCTCTGACTTATTTCGCTTAGCGCGATACCCTCAAGGTCCATCCATGTTGTCACAAATGGCTGGATTTCATCCATTTTTATGGCCGAGTTGTATTCCATTGTTTATATATACCACATCTTCTTTATCCATTCGTCTCTTAATGGGTACCTAGGTTGCTTCCAAGTCTCAGCTATTGTGAATAATACTGCGATGAACATGGGGGCGGTGCATGTATCTTTATGCAGTCGTGTTTTCATGTTCTTTGGATAAACACCCAGCAGTGGAATAGCTGGATCATATGGTACTTTTATACTTACTTTTTTTGAGAACTCTCCCTACTGTTTCCCATAGTGACTGTACCAGTTTGCACTCCCACCAGCAATGTACGAGGGTTCCCTTCTCTCCAGATCCTCTCCAACACTTGTTGTTTCCTGTCTTGTTAATTATAGCCATTCTAACCAGAATGAGGTGATATCTCATTTTAGTTTTGATTTGCATTTCCCTGATAGTTAATGATTTTGAACATCTTTTCATGTGCCTCTTGGCCATGTGTATATCTTCTTTGGAGAAATGTCTGTTCAGATCTTTTGCCCATTTTTTAATTGGGTTGTTAGTTTTTTTGTAGTTGAGATATATGAGTTTTTATATATTTTGGATATTAACCCCTTATCAGATATATGGTTTGCAAGTAGCTTCTACCAATTGTTAGGTTGTCTTTTCGTCTTGTTGATGGTTTCCTTTGCTGTGCAGAAACCTTTTGCTTTGATGTAGTCCCATTTGTTTATTTTTTCTGTTGTTTCCCTTACCCAGTCAGACATGGTACTTGAAAATATGCTGCTAGGGACTGATGTCGGAGGGTGTACTGCCTAGGTTTTATTCTGGAAGTTTAATGGTTCCAGGTCTTACATTCAAGTTTTTTATCCATTTTGAGTTAATTTTTGTGTATGGTGTAAAATAACGGTCTACTTTCATTCTTTTGCACGTGGCTGTCCAGTTTTCCCAACACCATTCATTGAAGAGACTCTCCTTGTCTCCATTGTATGTTCTTAGCTCCCATGTTGAAAATTAGCTGTCCATAGATGTACGGGTTTATTTCTGGGCTCTTGATTCTACTCCATTGATCTGTGTGTCTGTTTTTGTGCCAGTACCATGCTATTTTGGTTGCTGTAGCTTTGCAGTGTATTTTGAAATCAGGGAGTGTGATACTTCCAGCTTTGCTCTTTTTTTCTCAGGATTCCTTTGGCTGTTTGGGGTCTTTTGTTGTTCCATATAAATTTTAGGATTCTTTGTTCTTATTTCTGTGAAAACTCTTGTTGGAACTTTGATAAGGATTGCATTGAATCTGTAGATTGCTTTAGGAAGCATGGACATTTTAATTATGTTAATTCTTCCAAACCAAGAGCACGGAATATCTTTCCATTTGTGTCTTCTTCAGTTTCTTTCAACAATGTTTTATAGTTTTCAGTGTACAGAACTTTCACCTCTTTTGTTAAGTTTATTCCAATGTATTCTATGTTTTTTGCACTTGTAAATGGGATTGTATTCTTAATTTCTCTTTCTGCTACTTCGTTGTTAGTGTATAGAAATGCAACTGATTTTGTATGTTGATTTTGTATCCTGCAACTTGACCATATTCATTTATTATTTCTAAAAGTTTTTTGGTAGATTCTTTAGGGTTTTCTCTATATAAAATCATGTCTTCTGCAAATAATGACAGTTTCACTTTTTCCTTTCTGACTTGAATCCCTTTTATTTCTTTTTCTTGCCTGATTGTTCTGGCTAGGACTTCCAGTGCTGTGTTAAGAGTGGTGAAAGTGGGCATCCTTGTCTGGTTCCTATTCTTAGAGGGATAGCTTTCAGTTTTTCTCAATTGCCTATGTTAGCTGTGGGTTTGTCATATATGGCCTTTATTATGTTGAGATACTTTCCTTCTATACCCATTTTATTCATATTGTTATCATAAATGGATACTGTATCTTGTCAAATGCTTTCTCTGCATCTATTGAGATGATCTTGTGGTTTTTATTCTTCATTTTGTTAATGTGGTGTATCGTGATTTATTTGTGAATATTCAACCATCCCTGCATCCCTGGAATAAATCCCACTTGATCATGGCGTATCGTCTTTTTAATGTATTGTTGTATTCAATTTGCTAATATTTTGTTGAGGGTTTTTGCATCGATGTTCATCAGTGATATTGGCCTATAATTTTTTTTGTGTTGTCCTTGTCTGGTTCTGGTATCAGGGTAATGTTGGCTTCATAGAATGAGTTAGGAAGCCTCTCCTCCTCTTCAAGTTTTTGGAAGAGTTTGAGAAGGATAGATATTAAGTGTTCTTTGAATGTTGGGTAGAGTTCACCAGGGAAGCCGTCTGGTCCTGGACTTTTATTTTTGGGGAGGTTTTTGATAACTATTTCAATCTCCTTACTGGTGATTGGTCTGAATTTCAAATTCTCTATTTCTTCCTGATTCAGTTTTAGAAGGTTATATTATTCTAAGAATTTATCCACTTTTTCTAGATTATCCAATTTGTTGGCATATAGCTTTTCATAGTATTCTCTTATAATCTTTTGTATTTCTGAGGTGTCCATTGAAATTTCGCCACTTTCCTTTCTGATTTTATTTATTTGAGCCTTCTCTCTTTTTTCTTGGTGAGTCTAGTTAAAGGTTTGTCAATTCTGTTTATCTTTTCAAAGAACCATCTCTTGGTTTCATTGGTTTTTTATATTTTTTTTAGTCTCTATTTCATTTATTTCTGCTCTGATTTTCATTATTTCTTTCTTTCTACTGATTTTGGGCTTTGTTCTTCTTTTTCTTGTTCCTTTAAGTATACTGATGGATTTCTTACTTGAGATTTTTCTTGTTTGTTGAGGTAGGCCTGTATTGCTAAAATTTCCCTCTTACAACTGCCTTTGCTGTATCTCATAAATTTTGGCATGTGTAGTATTTTCATTTTCATTTGTATCCAGGTATTTTTTGATTTATCCTCTAATTTTTTCATTGACCCAGTTGTTCGGGAGCATTTTCTTTAATCTCCACGTATTTCTGGCTTTTCCGATTTTTTTTTCCTGTAGTTGATTTCTAGTTTCATACTGTTGTGGTCAAAGATGCTTGGTATTATTTAAATTTTCTTAAATTGATTGCGACTTGTTTTATGGCCTAATATGTGATCAATCCTGGAGAATGCTGCATGTGTATTAGAAAAGAATGTGTATTCTGCAGTTTTTGGATGGAATGTTCTGTATATATCTACTAAGTCCATCAGGTCTAACGTGTTAAGACCACTTTTCCTTATTGATCTTCTGTTTGGATGATCTATCCACTGGTGTAAGTAAAGTGTTCAAGTCCCCTACTATTATTGTGTTACTATTTCTCCTTTTATGTCTGTTAATAATTGCTTTATATAGGTGCTCCTAAATTGGGTGCATATTTACAAGTGTTATATTCTACTGTCGGATTGTTCTCTTTATCACTCTGTAGTGCCCTTCTTTGTCCCTTGTTACAGTTTTAAAGTCTGTTTTGTCTGATATAAGTATTGCTACCCCAGCTCTCTTTTCATTGCCCTTTGTGTGGAGTATCTTTTTCCATCCCTTCACTTTTAGTAGTTTGTGAGTGTCTTTAGGTCTGAAGGGTATCTCTTGTATGCAACATATATATATAGGTCTTGTTTTTTTATCCAGTCGGCCACTCTATGCCTTTTGATTGAGCATTTAGTCCGTTGACATTTAAAGTAACTGTTGATAAAAATGTACTTATTGCCATTTTGTTACTTTTTTCTAGGTATTTTAGTAGTTCTTCTCTGTTCCTTTCTTGTTTTCTTGCTCTCTTTGCTTATGGTTTGATGGCTTTCTTTAGTATTATCTTTGGGTGCCGTTCTCTTAACCTTTTTGTATATTTATTATAGGTTTCCGGTTTGTGATTGCCATGAGGTTCATATATAATATCCTATGTATATATATACTATATACATAGGATATTATATGTATAATTATTTGTATGGATATATGTATATAATTATTTGACCTCTTGCTAAAAGCTCTACTGTTTCACTCCCCTCCTCCTACATTTTATGTTTCTGATATCATTTCTAACCTCTTTTTTTGTGCATGTGTGTCTGTTACCCTCTTATCGTGGAAATAGATGATTTTAGTACTTTTGTCTCTTGACCTTCATATTAGCATTGTAAGTGGTTGATCTGCTACCTTTACTGTTTATTTGCCTTTGCCAGTGATTATATTGTCTTTTTTTTTTTTATAATTTTCATATTCCTATTTGTGGTCTTCTCTTTTCCACTTAAATAAATCCCTTTAACATTTCTTGTAAGGTTTGTTTCTTAGTGATCAACTACTTTAGTTTTTGCTTGTCTGGGAAACTCTTTATCTTTCCTCCATTCTGAATGATAGTCTTGCTGCATAGAGTATTCTTGGGTGTAGGTTTTTTCCTTTCAGCACTTTAAATGTATCATGCCACTCCCTTGTAGCCTGTAGAGTTTCTACTGAGAAGTCAGCTGATAGCCTTATGGGGTTTCCTTTGTATGTCACTTGTTGCCTTTCTCTTGCGGCTTTTAGGATTCTCTCTTTATCTTTAATTTTGGACATTTTAAGTTTAATGTGTCTTGGTGTGGGTCTCTTTGGGTTTATCTTGTTTGGTGCTCTCTCTGCTTCCTGTCCTGGATGTCTGTTTCCTTCCTTAGGTTAGGAAAGTTTTCAGCTATTATTTCTTCAAATAGATTCTCTGCCCCTTTGTCTGTCTCTTCTCCTTCTGGGACACCTATAATATGAATGTTAGTGCATTTGATGTTGTCCCAGAGGTCCCTTAGACTGTCCTCATTCCTTTTAATTCTTTTTTCTTTTATCTGATCAGCTTGGGTCATTTTCTCTAGTCTTTCTTCCAGCTCACTGATCCGTTCTTCTGTATCATCTACTCTGCTATCGAGTCCCTCTATAGAATTTTTCATTTCCAGTATTGTATTCCTCATTTCTAATTGGTTCTTTTTTATATTTTCCAGTGCTCTGTTGACGTTCTCACTGAGTTCATCCATTCTTCTCCCAAGATCAATGAGCATCCTTATGACTTTTTGTTTGAACTCTTTGACAGGTAGATTGTTTATTTTTGTTTCATTTAGTTCTTTTTCTGGGTTTTGTCCTGTTCACTTACTTGGAACATATGCCTTTGCCTCCTCATTTTGCCTCTTTCTCTGTGCTTATATCTACATATTAGGTGGGTCAGCTACGTCTCCTGATCTTGGAGAAGAGGCCTTATGTAAGAGACGCTTTTTTTTTTTGAGTTCATAATAGTTTACAGCATTGTGAGATGTCACATGTACATTATTTCTTGTCTGTCACCACAGAAGTGCTCCCCTTCACCCTCTGTGCCCACCCCCCACCCCCTCCCCTGGGAACCACTGAACTGTTTTCTTTGTCTATGTGTTTGTTTATATTCCACAAATGAGTGAAATCATATGGTGTTTGTCTTTCTCAGTCTGGCTTATTTTGCTTAGCATAATACCCTCCAGGTCCTTCCATGTTGTTGCAAATGGGATGATTTTGTCTTTTTTTCTGGCTGAGTAGTATTCCATTGTATATATATATACCACATCTTCTTTATCCACTCATCAGTTGATGGGCACTTGGGTTCTTTCCATGTCTTGGCTATTGTGAATAGTGCTGCAGTGAACATAGGGGTGCATATGTTACTTTGGATTGTTGCTGTCAAGTTGTTTGGGTAGATACCCAGTAGTGGGATAGCTGGATCGCATGGTATTTCTATTTTTACTTCTTTGAGGAATTTCCATACTGTTTTCCATAATGGCTGCAACAGTTTACATTCCCACCATCAGTGTATGAGGGTTCCCTTTTCTCCACAACCTCTCCAACATTTGTTATTTTTAGTCTTAGTGATTATAGCCATTTTAATAGGCGTAAGGTGGTATCTTAGTATAGTTTTATTTTCATTTCCCTCATGATTAGTGATGTTGAACATCTCTTCATGTGTTTATTGGCCATCTGTATATCTTCTTTGGAAGAATGTCTGTTTATATCCTCTGCCCAATTTTTGATTGGGCTGTTTATTTTTTTGTTGTTCAGTTGTGTAAGTTCCTTATATATTATGGGGGTTAACCCCTTATCGGATATCTGATTTGCAGATGTTTTCCCCACTTGGTGGGTTGTCTCTTTGTTTTGATTCTAGTTTCTTTTGCCTTGCAGAAGCTCTTTAGTCTGATGAAGTCCCACTTGTTTATTTTTTGTTTTGTTTCCCTTCTCTGAAAGAGACGCTTTATGAAGCCCAGCAGTGTGCTGCTCTCTCGTCACCAGTTCCAAATGATCTAGTAGTGATCCCTGTGCGGGCTACCTGTGTCCTTCTGTTGTGATGGGGTTGCTCTTGCTGCAGCTGCCCAGGGAGGCTAGACTGTCCCCCTGGCTGCTGGCTGTAATGCTCATCTGTGTGTGGCTGCTGTGGACCCTTCAGTCACTTTATTGGGTTTGGGCAGCCCCAGCACAGTTGGCTGCAAGGTCTAGTAGCACACTCCTCTTGCAGTTAAGTGAGTAGGCCCCCAGCATGGCTGATTCCTAGGCTCAGGGGCTCACAATTGCTGTATTCTGGCTCCATTTAATGTGGAACTAGCACCGACAGGCAGAGCATTGACATTGTCACTCTGTGCCTGTTTCACTTACTGGCTGTGTGACCTTGGGCAGTTGCTTAGCCTCTCTGTTTTCTTATCTGTAAAATAAGGATAAGGTGTTCTATGGGTTGTTGTGAGGATTAATTAAATAAGCTAATACATGCAAAGTGCTGGAAAGAGTGTCAGGCACATACCAAGGATAATGAATGTTAGTTATTAGTACCATTTAATCACCATCATCCAGTAGCTGATAGAGTATTGTTTCCTGTATCCTATATGGCCTGCCCCAGCTGTCATGGTATTATTTTTATGCAGCACGCTGCTGCACCCTCTGGTGACTGGCCTATGTGGTTATAAACTGCACACCTATCCTTTTTCAGGGCAAGAGGAAACCATTTGATAATAACTTTTCCCAGTGCACTAAGTTACGCCGTGGTATTTGAGAGAGTTCATACGCCTCCAAAAGGTAAATCGCTCACTTGGTCAGTAAATAAGCGTTTCCTGGGTGCTGACACGTGGCACGTGGAGCCCTGCTCCAGGGCTATCTTCATTCAAGTCTGCATCCTGTGACTTTAAACATTTGCCAGTTTCCTCATTGTTCAGGCTGGACCAGTATTCAGTAGTTATCTCTTGGTATTTACATGGGGCTTTACACCTGGCAGCAGCCTCTCATGAACACGACCTGCCTTAATCCTCACAACAATCCTGTGCGGTAGATGTTCTGACAGGTGAGGAAGTGGAGGTGTGCAGATTCACAGCCTGCTCACAGTCCTAAAGTGGGGCTTGAACTCGGGCCTTCCAGCCCAGGTCTGGGGTATTGCCTCTGTCCTGCTGACCCTCGTGGATTTGATAAAACTGTAAGAAGGCAAGATTGCACATGCTCTTTTGATGGGTTCAAACACACATCCAAAGGAATGAGAAGACAGAGTAAGATACAATTGAAATAAATACTTAAACAAATATGTGGGCAAGTCCACATAGAAAACCACAGAAATCCTCGGGGGAGATGAAGTGGGGACCGTCCTTTCTGCACAAGGGTGGAGGGTGGAGCTGGTCATGGTGATAGGAGCCTTTAGTCCAGTCTGATAACTGGTCACCAGTCTACCCACCTCTCTGCGCACTGTGGAGTCTCTGACGAGACACACGCTGCCGCGCCATTGTTGTCTGTCTTGCGCTTAGTGAGTGTGATCCAGCATCAGCTTGCATCTCTTTCTGTGTTTTATCCATTTTGTATATTCATGTCCCAATTCGCTTACATAAATTTTTTTGGAGGGGAGATGGGGAGAGTGAAGTAGGCGTGTAGGAGTGTATCTTATATGAATTCTTAAATATTTTGGGAAGTTTTAATAGTGTGATCGGCACATACGCAGTAAATTCTGCTGTGTTGCCTGAAAGTTTTAGATGAAATTAGCAGAAGCAGGGTGTGGAAGATTATCGTTGTTATCATTAGTTGTGTGTAAAGACCTTTGAGTCTAGTTGTTATATGTGCTTCTAATTGTTTTACTCTTGATTGTTTTGCTTGAAAGAAATATTTCAGTTTCAGAAAAGTGGTTTCTTTTTTTTGGTACAGATGCAAACAATTCCTCTTCCAGAGCCCCTGTTTGTGGAATTTTCATGGATTTTGCAACAGCCTCACACCGTCAAAGGAGTCGGACTCAGGCCTTTAAGCAAAAGTAGGTGTCTTGGAAATTTGTGAAACGCATTATGGAATTTTAATGTACTTTTCTTCAGTATACTTTAAAAAAATAGCTTTTCATTTTATTTTCTCTTCTGACTATTTAGGTGCATTCTTTACTTTGTGCTACATTTCTTAGCGTTCAGCTTTTATGTTAATAGTGCAGTTGTGTGCACTGCTGTACTCTAGATTCTGGAGTGGCCCTGGGAGTCAGGACCTGTTTTGGCTGAGGCAGAATCATGAGCATGCAGTCACCAAGTCAGTGGCCAGAGTCCCATGTCCTCAGGGAGTGGGCGTGGCCCGCCTGCATCTCAGCGAGTCACTCCTGGTGGAGGCAAGGTTAGCATCACTCGGCGCTGGGACAGCCCTGCCTGCTGGTGTTGCTGCATCTGTTTTCAGATGTGGAAGCTGGGGAACTCGTCTTGGTCAAGAGTACCACCAGTTGGTAACACTGTGAAGTGCTCATTTTTCTGTGTGCCCCAGGCACTGTGCCTCCCAAGTGTAATTCCCTCTTGAGTCCTCACAGCTCCGTTGTGTAGATGAGGGGAGGGAGGCTCGAGGGCGTCATCTGGGGAACAGTGGAGCAGAGATTTGAACTCAGGGCTACCAGACATCAAAGTCTAAGCTTCCAATTACTGAAAATTTGGGAATTTATGAGAGTCAAAGAGATAGTCTCAACTCAGGGGTCTATACTATGAAACCCAGATAAGATTTAGGAGTAAGTGTAAAAATTGTTTGTTTTTAAAAAGTGGGTTTAAAATCCATCATATCATCTAGCTCAGTCCATGGCCTAGTAAGAACTCAGTAAATTTTGCTAAAGGAACAAATAAATCATTAATAATAAAACTAACAGTTTTCACAGCATTTTTGTTGTCCTTATATTTTGGGCTTCCTGTTGTGGTGGTAAAACCAGTTTCTGCCACTATGGCTAGGGTTTTTTTTTTTTTAACCCAGTTTAAAGTCTCAGAAGTTACATAAGGTAATTTTTATAAACTCAGAAACAATCAAAACCACACAGTGTGTTGTTTAGGCATATATAATATGAGATCAAATTACATTTTAAAAAGCAAGAAAATGATAATTACGAAATTCCATCTAGTGATTGTCGTAGGAGGGCTCCTTTGGGTGGGTCATCGGTAGTTTTCTGGTTCTGGGCTTAGGCCTGGGGTTGTAGGAGGTTAACTGTATTATTATATGTAATGTGTAAGTATGTTACATGAATTATTTTCAGTAAAAAATTATATTAAAGATTTTAAAAGAAAAATTAAAAAATTAAAGGCTGAAACGAATGGATTAATGATAAATGAGAATAAAAAGATTTTTGAGGAAAATTCAGGGGTACTTTATAGGAATGTGGGTAGGTCTTGGCGTTTATATCTTTGTGTGTTGTATGGAAATAAAGGTACAGAGAAGAAAAATGTAAACTGTTGAGCAGTAGTGCTAGATATAAATTTAGTAAATTAATTTAGAATTTGGGGGAAAATAGATACCTGCTTCACAATATACCCAAGGTAAATTCCAGATGGTAATATAAGTGGTTATTTCAGTGATAGGAAAGGACTTTCTAAGAATAAAAGCAAATAAGAAAATAAAAAATTAAATTTCTATAAGGTGTAGTAGTCCATGAATTTAACAAAATTTAAACATAATTGACCAATTGAGAAAACGTATCTGCAAAATGATAGAGGTTTACTATCCCTAATGCATAAAATGTTTTTATAATTTAGTAAGCAAAGCTAAAATATCCCTAGTTAAAAATGGGCAGAGGTCAGCTGATCCAGTGGCATAGTGGTTAAGTTCGTGCGCTCTGCTTTGGTGCTTGGCGTTCGCAGGTTCAGATCCCGGGCACGGACCTACACACCACTCATCAGGTCACGCTGTGGCATTGTCCCACATACAAAATAGAGAAGGATTGGCGCAGATGTTAGCTCAGGGACAATCTTCCTCATCAAATAAATAAATAAATAAATAATGGGCAGAGGTCATGTAAACCTGGAGCTCTGGGCTGTAAAACAGAAAACTCTATGAGCCTTTAAAACAGAAGGGTGTGATGCAGGGGTTATCACACAGGTGTTGGGAAAGCTGAGAAGCTACTCAGGGGCAGGAGGCAGCATGTTCCTCAGCCAGACAGGGAGCTGGGACCAGCCACTCAAGCCCAACCAGAGAGGGAGGGAGAGGAGCAGTGTGCTTCCTCTCTCTCACTTACTTCCCTGGCTTTGCATCAGAGGGACCCTGGATGGTCAGGACACACAGAGCTAATTCACAGGAGAAAAAATTAGGCTGTCAGTGAATATGTGAAAGTACATCCTATTGAAAGCAACTATAAAAGCTGGATTAAAAAAAAGGAAAAGAGCTGATTGAAGTCAAGACAGCTGGGACTCGAGGCCAAGGTACTGGAGAACCAGGATGCATCCAGATGATGGCCATGCTCCACTGCAGTAGCCTGCGGCTGTGTTTCCCAGGGCAGTACTTAAACAGAAGGTGGTGGCTTCTCACAAGAGTGAGGAGACAAAAGTTGAAGTTTCCCTGATAACCACCCCAGGCTGTAGTTGAGACCCCTAAAGGGCCTGTGCTATAGGAAAAGGGCAAATCAGAAATGGACCAGGTCTCACAAACCCCAAAACCAAGCCCTACTTAGATCAGTGTGATCTTCCTGTTCTCTGCCTCCCAGGAGAAGATTAAGTATTTTTTGGAGGAAAATAACAATATTCAGAATTTCTACAATTTTTCCTATCCAATGCTTGACATTCAATAAATTACTTGGCATACTAGGAGTTAGACTCAAACAACCAAAAACTAAGAGAAAAAACAAAGAGTAGTAATGAACCCATACGTGATCCTGATAGTGCAGTTATCAGTTGTGGATTTTGTAATAGTGGTGAGTAATATGTTGAAGAAAACAGATTAAAAAAGATTAATTTCAACAGAACACTGAAATCTCTGAGAGAATCAAGGAAGTTCTGGAACCTTCCCACAAAATAAACTGAAATGAAGAATTCAGTTGATAAGTTTAATAGCAAGTTTTACTGGAGAGATGATAAGATTAATGAACTAGAAGAGAGAACAGTAGAAGATGTTCAAACTGAAGCACAGAGATAAAGGAGGATGGAAGTATACCAAAAATATTGGAAGAGATATGAGAGAGAGAGCAAAAGTCATCTAACATGTGTATAAGTAACATCGCAGAAAGACAAGAGAAGGATTGGGGCAGAAGCAATATTTGAATATATGCTGCCTGGGAGTTTTTCTTTTTTTTTTTTTCCCCTACTTTTTTTCCCCAAATCCCCCCAGTACATAGTTATATATTTTACTTGTGGGTCCTTCTAGTTGTGGCATGTGGGACGCCGCCTCAACACGGCCTTGTGAGCGTTGACATGTCTGCGCCCAGGATCTGAAATGGTGAAACCCTGGGCCACCAAAGCAGAGCACCGTGAATCTAACTACTCGGCCATGGGGCCGGCCCCAAGGGGGAGTTTTTCAAAAGTGATGAAAGCTGTCAAACTACAACTTAAAGAGGCTCAAGAATGATAAATACAAATAACAAAAATATAAACAAAGTCCATCTATACACAATATATTCAAACTGCTGGAAACCAGAAAAAGGAAGAAAAACCTTAAAAACAGCCAGGGGTAGGGGAAGACCCATTACATTAAAAGGAGTCACGGTAAGCCTTAAAGCTAAATTTTCAAAAGAAACGATGTAAACCAGAGACAATGACAAATATGTTTAAAATGCTGAAACAAAATTACTGCTAAAAATTGGTACCAGGTAAATAATATTCTTTAAAATGAAAGCAAAAGGTAGCCGTTTTCAGACTGACAAAAGCCCTGAGGACTCATTGCCAGCAGACCTGCAGTAAAAGAAACAGTTAAAGGAGTTTTTTAGGCAGAAGGAAATTGATCCCAGATGAAAACACAGAAACCTAAAGGAAACAGTGGCAATGGGAAGGATCAGTGTGTGGTGAATAGGAATTAATGCTGACTGCAAAAAGCAATAACAGTAACATCTTATGGGATTTAAATGTATGTGGAATTAAATTACTTCACAATATACTATAGTCACGCACCCCATGACAATGTTTTGGTCAATGGTGGACTGTATATATGACGGTGGTCCCATAAGATTAGTAACGTACTGCATACGTGTGTGGTAGGCTATACCATCTAGGTTTGTGTAAGTACACTGTGTGATGTTTGCACAGTGGTCAAGTTGCCTAAGAATGCTTTTTTTAGAATGTGTCCTTGTGTTAAGTGATGCGTGACTGTACAAGAATTGGGGTAAGGAAGGGGATAATAAATTGTGTAAGGTCCTGGAAGGAAGAGGTGAAAGTACATGATGTAAGGTAAATTTTACATTAAGGTCAGAAATGCATTCTGAAATATCTAGGGTAACCATTAAGAGATAATGCAAAAAAAATATGACTAACAAGATAATAGAGGAGTAAATGGAATAATAAAAAAAATACATGGTTAATCAAAAAGTAGGCAAGAAAGGAGAAAACAGAGGAACAAAGGACTTACGGATGAATAGAAAACAAGAGGAAGATGGTAGATTAAACCAGAATCTATCAGTAATTATATTCTGTGTTAACTAAACAATTCAATTAAAAGACAAGTATTGTACCACTGGAGAAAAAATAATTCAAGTATATATTACTTCCAAGAGACAAACTTTATATATTAGGACACAGAAAGGTTGAAAATAAAAGGATGGGAAAAAATATACCAAGCAAACAGTAACCAAAATAATACTGATGTCACTAATATTAGATAAACTAAGCTTGAAAGCAAGGAGATTACTGGAAATGAAGTCACTTCATAGTGATAAAATCTAACAATCTAACGGATCACTCTAACAATCCTCCTCTGTATGAACCCAATGCTAGAGTTACAAAATATATAAAGCAAAACCTGATGCAACTAAAAGGAGAAAGACATATTTACAAGCACAGATGGAGATTTTTAACATACTTCTCTTTGTAGCTGATAGAAATTTAGTGGGGACAGAAATTTAGTGGAGATTTATAAGATTTGAGCAACGTGGTTAACAAACTACACCTAACATACATTGCAAATTATACCTGGCAACTTCATTATCCATATTGTTTTCAAGTACACATGGAACATTTCTCAAAAAGATTGTATGCTGTGGGCGTGGGATTGAAATAATAGAGTCTGTCTTCTGAACACAGTGGAATTAAGCTCTAGAAATCAATAATACAAAGGTAATTAGAAAATTCACCAAAGTTTGAAATTTAAGTAGTATATTTTTTAATAGACTGGGTCAAAGAAGAAATCAAATGTAATTAGAAACTGCTTTTTAACAGTGATAATGAAAATCAGCACTTTAAAACCTGTGGGATGCAGCTAAAGCTATAGAAAATTAGTGGTCTAAACATCTATCTCAAGAGGCCAAGAAAAGAACAGTAAGTTAGAAATTAGAGTGAAATAATAAAAGATAAGAGCAGAAATCTATAAAATTGAAAGCAGTCACAATAAATTCAACAAAGTCACAATTGATTCTTTGAAAACATTCATAAAATTTATATACCCCTAGGCAGTCTGACCAAGGGAAAAAAAGAGAGAAAGCGAGACACAAATAATCAATAGCAAGAATGAAAAAGGGGATACTGCTACAGATCTTACAAACATTAAAAAGCTAATAAGATGGTATTATGAACAACTTTATGTCAATAAAAATTTAAATGAAATGAGTAAACTCTTAGGAGACACAACTTATCACAGTAGATTCAAGAAGCAATAGAAAAATTGAATTGTTCTATATTAATTAAATGTATTTAATACATAAATATCCTTCCCACAAATTAAACTACAGGTGTAGATGGTCCATTAAAGCCTTCTAAACATTTAAGAAGAAATAACTGCTAGCTTCATGAATTCACTTTCCAGCCTGTTGTATGAGGCCAAACTTTGATACCAAAATTTAATAGACTTTAGAAGACAGAATTACAGACCAATATTTCTTGTAAATATATACACAAATTTCTTTAATAAAACATTAGCAACTTGAATCTGAGAATACCTAAAAAGAGTAACACCTAATAATCAGGAATGCAACGTTGGTTTAACATTCAAAAGTTAATCCATGTTATTCATTATTTTAATAGAATAAAGGAGAAAAACTGTATAGTCCTCTTAATAGATGCAGAAAAAAACAATTGAAAAAATTTAGTACTCGTTCATGATAAAACTTCTTAGCAAACTGTGACTAAAGGGAACTTCCTTTGTCTGATAAGGCATATCTACAAAAATTCTACAACTGACGTTATAGCTGCTGTTGACAAGCTTTTCCTCTCAGATCTGGAATGAGCTATGGATCTCTACTCTCATCAGTTCTGTACATCGTACAAGATCCTAGCCAGTGCAATAAGGCAAGAAAAATAAAAATTGTAAGGATTAGAAAGAAGAAAACATTTATTATTCAATGCAACATGATTATGTACATAGAAATTTTAAAAACCTGATAAGCTGTTAGACTTTATGAATAAATGTGAATAATGCATGAATTTATCAGGAATGCTAGATAAAAAGTCAATATACAACAATCAGTTATTTCTGTATGCTAGCAATGAAAAAATATTAAAATGTTGCCATTTACAATAGGATTAGGATGAATGTAATGGAAGATGTACAAGACCATAGAAAACTTACAAACATTATTGAAATTCAAGAAGACCTAAATAAATGGGTGGCATATCATGTTTGTGAATTGAAAATCTTTTTTTCTTTTCTTTTCTTTTTTACAGATTGGCCTTGAGCTAACATCTGTTGCCAATCTTCCTCTTTTCTTTTCTTCTTCCCAAAGCTCCCCAGTACATAGTTTTATATTCTGTATACTCTAGTTGTGGTCTTTCTAGTTGTGCTGTGTGGGATGCCGCCTCGGCATGCCTTGATGAGTGGTACCGTGTCCGCACCCAGGATCCGAATCGGTGAAACCCTGGTCCGCTGAAGTGGAGTGCATGAACTTAACCACTCGGCCAGGGGGCCGGCCACTGGAAGTCTTAATATTGCAAAGATGTCAGTTTCTCTCAAAGAGATTCAATGATATTCCGATAAAAATCTCAGCAGTGTGTATGTGTGTGTAAATTAACATACTGATTTTAAAATTTATATGGAAATGCAAAAGGTCAAGAATAGTGAAGACAGTCTTGAAGAAAAGATTATAAGATATCAAGATTTATTATAAAGCACAGTAATTAGAACTGTTCTTTGCACGTGGATAGTCAGACACACCAGTGTACAGAGGGGAGTCCAGAGGTGGATTTAAATGTGGGCTGCCTGACGGATGCATTGCCACTGGGGCGTAGTGGAGAAAGCTTGGTCTTTTGAGTGAATGATGCTGGAACAGTCAGGTTTGTATGGAAACAAGGACCCTGAACCCCTGCCTCACAGCACACAATCAGTGAGCAACCAAGGAAAGTGGTAGGGTTCGTCTGTTGGAGGTGCCATGTGGTTGAAGCATTTTTGGAGGTGCTTCTTGGAGGACAAGGTAAAAAGTTGGGAGGTTAGGTGATGGTGTTCAGAGAATGTTATGGGAAGGTGGCAGCTATTTGTAAAGACCCTGAGAGTGAGTGGAAAGGAAGGAGAGGGCAAATCAATTTATCGAGATGCCTGAATGTTGGAAGGAGCATTCATTCTCTCATTCAACACGCACTGATTCAGCACCAGCCATCTGGAAGTCATAGTACATGAAAGACCTAAAACTCTCTGCCCATGCAGAGCTTATATTCCGGTGGGAGTGACAAACAGTGAATATGAGGATTGGCCCCTGGTGTCTGGAAGGAAAGGAGGGACCAGCTCGGGCAGTTGGAAAGGTCTCTGAGGCCAGAGGAGAAGCAAGGGCACACAGTTTCTCGAAGGCTTGTGGGGAGGAGGGGCAGCTGGCTGCGTGGGAGGCTGCCGTGTTCAAGTCCTGTGGGAAACAGGTCTCCTGGAGCCTCAAGAAGAGTGGGCTGAAAAGGGAGACACCCAGACAAGCTGTGCTCCCTGCCCCAGCCCAGGTGACATCACAAAAATGTCATCCTTCTAGTCAAGACATCAGCCGTGAGATAAAGTGAATCACTTCATGTGAAAGTGCTAGGCATACACGTATTATAACTTTATTTTGTGTTAGCCTCAGGGGCACTGAATTAGAATCATCAAAAATGTGGTTCATGTTATCCTCTGATCGTTGGTCCATGCGTGACTGTCTTGTCTTTAACTGTTGAATACCTCAGGCTCACACCCAAACAGAAGTTGGGTCCTTGACAAAACCTACATCTGATCATCAGGTTTCTACACTTTCCCTATATTTCCTTTGTACATGATTCATTTTAACTTCTGTCTTGTTTTCAATTTATTTTAAAGGACTCGCAGTACAAAACTGCTTCGGCTTATTGACTTAGATTTTTCATACACTCTCTCTCTCCTGGATCTACCACCAGTAAATGAATATGACATGTATATCAGAAACTTTGGGAAAAAAAATACCAAGCAGGTTAGTACAAGATGTCTTAACGAAGTGACAAAATACAAGTAAAGTACAGATGTAAATTTGTATGTACCACATCTTGTTCTGGCAAATGAGCCCGTGGGACTGGTGTGTAGAGGATAGAGGCTTGAGGGAAAGGGAACCCCTTCATCATGTGATGCTCATTGGCCTGGAGAAATTAGGCACATGTCCACGGATGCTCCCAAGGCTCCTGAGCATTGATGGATGGTCCACGTGGAGGGAATGGGGCACGTGCCGAGGCTCCAGGGATAGCTTCTTGTAGAGCAGAGGATTGATTAAACGTGGAGTAGAATGTCACATTTGGATCCCTTACTTGAGTCTTTGGTGAGGGTGCAGCAGCCCTAACATCTGTATGAAATCCTGTAATGCAAAGGTCTCTGAGCACTGCCATGCAGTGACACAGGCTCCCTGTAGTCTAGATGCCGTTTGCATCTGTAGTATGTGCTCTGTTCTACACCCCTGCCTCTGGAACAGGTCCCTTAGGCTGCCAGGCCCCTCACCTGTGTTTCTCTCTTACCTTCCAGGCCCTCCCTCGTCCACCTGTGTTTCTCTGTTACCTTCCAGGTCCTCCCTCGTCCACCTGTGTTTCCCTCTTACCTTCCAGGTCCTCCATTATCCACCTGTGTTTCTCTTACCTTCCAGGTCCTCCGTCATCCACCTGTGTTTCTCTGTTACCTTCCAGGTCCTCCCTCGTCCACCTGTGTTTCCCTCTTACCTTCCAGGTCCTCCATTATCCACCTGTGTTTCTCTGTTACCTTCCAGGTCCTCCCTCGTCCACCTGTGTTTCTCTGTTACCTTCCAGGTCCTCCCTCGTCCACCCGTGTTTCTCTGTTACCTTCCAGGTCCTCCCTTGTCCACCTGTGTTTCTCTTACCTTCCAGGTCCTCCCTTGTCCACCTGTGTTTCTCTTACCTTGTTTATGTACTTCTTCCCCTTCTCTCCTCTAGATGTCTGTTTCTCTGTCCGTGGTCTCTTCTCTAGGTGACTTCCCCTGTGACTCACACTGAATTCTCTCTTATGCCACAGTTGCTGCAGTCCATCCCACCCAATTTTGTATTTCCCTATAGTATTTTCAGTCATTAATTCTGTGCTAGTCCAACTTCCCGACACAATATGGTAAAGTTTTTGAAGTCAGGGATCATCTCTTACCTCTTATTTTCCTTATACTGCCATCACTCATGATGTTTGGGTACATTTAATCCATAATACTCTTTCAGTAGGAAGAAGGTCACAGAATGAAACTCAGGAAGCTCACAGATTAATCCTGGCTCTGGGGTGACTCACTGACTTTGAGTAGATTATCTAACTTCTTTGCTTGTTTTTCTTGTCTCAAAGCTCTTAGTAAGAAAACTGGCTTTACTGAAGCATGTACCTTTTTGAAATAAAAAAATTATGTTTGGTTTTGCAAACTCAGTATGTTCTAGGAGAATAGGATGTTGGTGGGCTGTGTGGTAGTATTTTCAAACCAAAGCTCAATCGTTTGATGTGACTTTTTTTTTTTTTGCTGAGGAAGAGTGTCCCTGAGCTAACATCTGTGGCCATCTTCCTCTATTTGCATGTGGGCTGCCACCACAGCGTGGCTCAATGAGTGGTGTGTAGGTCCACACCTGGGATCTGAACCTGTGAACTCTGGGCTGCTGAAGCAGAGCGCACATACTTACCAACTACACAGCTGGGCCAGCCCCTAATGTGACTTTTTGAAAACACTTTTGAAAATTAGGCCTACATATATATATATCTTAAACGTTTAAGATGCAAGCAATGATTGTCATTTATGCCATGATACTTACTTTTGGCAAAAGCAAGAAGACTCTCCTTATTAACTTTAAACCTTTTAACCATTTTTCTTTTCAATAATGAGAAATTTCTCTGAAGTCGAGGCCCAGTGCTAATTCCAGCATACCTTTGTTTTAAGGCCTATGTTCAGTATAATGAAGATCACGTTGAAAGAGATGTTCAGACTGAAGAGATAGAGACCAGGGAAGCGTGGACCCAGCATCCAGGGGAAGGCACGGCTGTGTCTGGGGGTAAACGGCTTTTTGTTCTTGACCGTTGGTAGTTGAGTGTCTACTTTATTTTTGGTGTCATGTTTATTACCGTTCTTGTTCTTTGCTCTTGTGTCTTTTTCTTTGGTGTGGTTCTTAGTATGTGACTGTGGAAATACCCAGTGCTCTTCACAGGATCAAACTGGCTTTTGTGAGCCACTAACTCAGCGCTGAGCTGGAGGCCTGGTTGCAGCCTGACCGGGTTTGTAACACTTTTATTCCCAAACGTAAGGAAGAGTCCACATTCTAGTCAAGCACTTTACAAATATGCTTCTGGAACACTCTCTTCTCTTCACTTGGGGACAGTTTGTTTTCATTAATAGAGAATTTTCATATTTCAAGTACAGTTTCCAGACATGTTGCATCAGTGTACACCGAAGGCCCCCAGAACTCACAGTGTTCTGCTTACACTGCATTCGTTTCAGTTATTTCTAGGTAAATATTAGTTTCCCGGGACTGTTTGTTCTGAGGAATCGACCGTGTGGCGGCAAATCCTGCTGCTCCCTTTCCTCAGGAAGCCTCACCCTGAGAAAGTAACACACCTAAACGCATCGCTTATGTAGTAATTACATCGATGCCTTAACTGTTTTCCTTCATGCATTTAAGTAGAATCCCATTTACAGGCTTTCTATGAAACAAGATGTTATTGTTTTTCAAGAAATCACAAGTACATCTAGACAATAAAATGGAAACTTTCTGACTGTCCTTCCAGGGCTCCTAGTGTCCTGTTGTAACACCTCTGAACTTAAGGTGTGCAATGCATGACTGTTTCAGAGTCAACCTTGTTGGTTTTTTTTGTTGTTGAGGTAACACTGGTTTATAACATAAATTTCAGGTGTACATCTTTATGTTAGGTTTCTGTGTGGACCTGGTTGTTTTATCTAACCGGTTTGTTTTAGGCAGTGGGAGTACAGATAGCTCTGATGCTGCAGCTGTGCCAAAGGTCGATACGCCGAGACTGTCCAGCTTTCTCCGGGCAGCCTGCCAGGTACGCTCTGTGATGTGTCTGTCCATGGTCATTAGCCCTTGTGTGCAGATGACCCCAGTAAATGTATTTGGCTACAAGTACTGTCTATGTATTTGGATTCTATCCCTTAATATTAATCGCTTACATTTTAAAATAAATGTAGACTGAAAAATGCATATTAAGTTGGCAAGGCATGCATACGTCTAGGGTAGTTGAAAGTAATAAACTCTTGATTTTAAAAACATTGTGAAAATTTTCAAGATACATACAAAGATAAAGGGAACAGTATGGTGAACCCCGAGTATTTCAATAGTTACCAGTTTATGGCTGATTTGTCTCATCTGAGCCACCCACTCACCCCACCACTCACCTCTCAATTATTTTGTAACAAATCACACCACCATATGATTCCCTCCAAGAATATTTCAGTATGAATCTCTCAAATAAAAGGATCAACATTAGTGATATTCCTTAACGTCATCAAGCCTAAAGTCGAGGTTCTTATTTCCTCAGTTGTCTCATATATTTTGTGGGTAAGCTCCAATTTAAGTATAAGGTAGCAATTATTACAGTAAGCATTGTTGAACCCAGCCTGAGGATTTGGAATAAGCCTGTTTCTCCATCTCTGTTACTGACATCTGGTGGTTATTTGTTCCCCGGGCCACTGTTAGGGTGAGAGCCTGGTTTAGGAGATAAGACCATGCTTTCACATATTTTAATTTAATTGGCTTCTCTTTTAGTGTAAGTTCATGGGGCGCTAAGAGGAGGGAGCACTTAGGGGCGGTGTGAAGGGAAGGAGAGATGAGCTAGAGTAGGAATGAACTGAGGACGCGATGCAGGGGAGTAGGGGCAGACCTTGATCTCAACCTCGGCTTTATTTATATACCCCAACCTCAGATGTGCAGTCCCCTCGGTTCTCCAGTAAATGTTCTCTCCCTCCCTTGGTCCCCTCGGTTCTCTGGGGGACATTCCCTCCCTCCCTTGGTCCCCTCGGTTCTTCGGGGGATGTTCCCTCCCTCCCCTGGTCCCCTCGGTTCTCTGGGGGACGTTCCCTCCCTCCCTTGGTCCCCTCGGTTCTCTGGGGGACATTCCCTCCCTCCCTTGGTCCCCTCGGTTCTCCGGTGGACGTCCCCTCCCTCCCCTGGTCCCCTCGGTTCTCTGGGGGACGTCCCCTCCCTCCCCTGGTCCCCTCGGTTCTCCGGTGGACGTCCCCTCCCTCCCCTGGTCCCCTCGGTTCTTCGGGGGACGTTCCCTCCCTCCCCTGGTCCCCTCGGTTCTCTGGGGGACGTCCCCTCCCTCCCCTGGTCCCCTCGGTTCTCTGGGGGACATTCCCTCCCTCCCCTGGTCCCCTCGGTTCTTCGGGGGACGTTCCCTCCCTCCCCTGGTCCCCTCGGTTCTTCGGGGGACGTTCCCTCCCTCCCCTGGTCCCCTCGGTTCTTCGGGGGATGTTCCCTCCCTCCCTCGGTCCCCTCGGTTCTCTGGGGGACATTCCCTCCCTCCCCTGGTCCCCTCGGTTCTCTGGGGGACGTTCCCTCCCTCCCCTGGTCCCCTCGGTTCTTCGGGGGACATTCCCTCCCTCCCCTGGTCCCCTCGGTTCTTCGGGGGACGTTCCCTCCCTCCCTCCGTGCCCTCGGTTCTCAGGTAGATGTTTCCTCCCTCTCTTGGTCCCCTCGCTTGTCCGCGAGACGCTCCTCTCCCTCCTCCAGTCCCCTTGATTCTCCGGGGTACATTTCTTCTGAGTCTGCCACGTCTCCCCCTCACTCATCAACTTCGTAAACACACCCTGTTAGAGCCATTACAGTCATTTTCTGCTTTTTCCAGGTCCTCACCTAACCCAGTGAGGACAAGTGTAGTGATGTGTCCATGATGTTTATACTCTTTCTATTCAAGAAAAGGTGCATGTCAGCCATTTTCCTTCTCTTGTTTTTTTAGCAATTTATTCACTCTAAACAACATCTAACGTTAAGTAATGGCTCTCCTATAGAGTTGATATTAATGGAACTCTACTTGTTGATTTCCACTGTTGTGCAGAACGAACAATTTTATTTCATTCTTTTAGTTTTTATCATGTATTGGAGTTAAGAAGTTATTTTAAGAAATGAACAAGAGGAATACATTTTTTTGTTTTGTAGAACTGAGTACATCTGACAGTGTTTCTTGACTGCTCACTTGTCTTTGAAAGGTGATTGCGGTTTTGCTCGAAGAGGATCGAGTGGCCGCTGAGCCCAGCTGGAGCCCCCGGATGCAGGACAACACCCTGCCTTTCAGTGACAGGTCCTCTCAGTTGAACACTAGCCTGCCGTTCCTGCAGAGTAAGAGGCGTCCCTGAGTGTGTTTCTAAATCCAGTACTAAACCTTTATGTTGAAATAATGATCTTTAACGTTACGTCTTACGTTAAAGTGACGGGGTTTATTGAATATAGAACAGAGAGAGGTTCAGCTTCTGAAGAACTCCAAAGTATAAGCTTAAATGTTATGTTTTCTTAAATGTTGTGTTAAAATTATGAAGAACACTCTCCTAAGATGATTAGAAGAGTGGCATGCAGCAATTTAAATGAATGAGATTATTTAAATGAATGGAAACTGAGGTTTTGTGTGTTTGTTTTAATTTCTGTTTGTTTTTCGGTAAAGTTATTCAGTTTCTTTTGATTTCTTGGAATAGAGAGACAGTAGGAGCAGCCTGAGAGAGTGTTTAGGTGAAAGTTGTGTGATTGACTTAGTTATGGGTGAGTAGCAAGCTCAACATTTCACTTAGGTCTTCTTACTTAGATTTTAAGTTAATCCATGTTTATGAAACACGAAATGCTAAACAAGTGAAGCCCGTGTGTTATCAGACATAAGGTGTGATTGCATGTAATCATTTAAATTAGTTTAAAGAAACTGCATTTGCATGACCAAATTTAAATTTCTTAAGCTGGTCCCCTCTTTGCTTTAAAGAAAAGCAGCTGAGCCAGCCCTGATGGCCTAGTGGTTAAGTTCAGTCCACTCTGCTTTGGCGGCCTGGGTTTGGTTCCCAGTTGCACAACCATACCACTTGTCTGTCAGTAGCCATGCTGTGACAGCAGCTCATATAGAAGAACTGGAAGGAGTTACAGCTGGAATATACAACTATGAACTGGGGCTTTGGGGAGGAAACAAAAAAAAAAGAGAGGAAGATTGGCAACAGATGTTAGCTCAGGGAGAATCTTTCCCAGAAGAAAAAACACACAAAAAAACAACTTTAAAGAAAAGTGGCTAGTGAGGTAGTAGGTGCAGCTGTGGGCCTGGTCTGTGTGAAGAAGCCAGGAACCCAGGTGTGCCCAGTGGTCGGCTTCACCTGGTGCTCCCAGGCCTGTGTGAAGCCAAGGCATTGGTGCCACTCGTTCTAGGTGTTTCTTCTGTCTTGCTTGCTATAGAGGGTTTTAGATTCATATACATTCTTCTTCATTTAACATTAAGAAAAATGACATTGTTAATTAAAAAAAATCTCGTGTTCTTTGATAGTATTTTTGTTTTTAAAAGCTAAGAGTTATCCTATTAGAAAAATAGTAAATGGTTTTATCTGTAGCAATCAAAACAAGGACGTCCACACTCCCACGCCCAGCCCACCTTGAGAAATGGGTGTTAAAGGAGCTGGTAAGTGATGCCGCTTGGCAGAACTGCAGGAAGTTGGATGATACACATCTCTAGAATCCTTCATAAGAGACAAATGATGCATGTGGGTTCCAAATGTGAACAGATGGAGGTTTTTCTTACTTGTTGTGTTTTAGTAAAATGAACTTGAAGTCATAGAAGGAAAATGAGATTGAGATGACAGGTGTCTGACAGACTGAGTGTTTCATCTCACCTGGTGAACCAAAGTCTTGATCCCATTACACCAGATCCCATTTGGGCAGCTTGGTGTTTGTGGGAGTGGCTAGTAGAGGAGAGAGAAAGCCTGTTGTCCCGGGCTGCATTCTACTAAATTTGCAGGATTGCTTTTTAGCAAAACCATGAGGCCAGCGTGGGCAGTTTTCAGGTAGAACTGAGGCCATTTATTAAAACCCAGATGTCAGTCATCTGCAGCTTTGAAGGGACCATGTTTGTTTCTTCATTAAGCTGAAAAGTATTTGAATATTCTTAAGTGTGTTAATTTAACATGGATTCTGGCAGATCACTAAAATGCAGAACTGTTTTTCTTCTTTTATCCCTAGATCGAAAAGTGTCCTGTCTGCATGCCTCCCAGGTTCAGAGGCAGACGGTGGTGTCTGTTCACGGGGTGGCTGAAAAGGCGTTTGCCCCTGTGCTGGATGACAAATATGTGCTCTGTGTGTGGGATATCTGGCAGCCTTCAGGGCCTCAGAAGGTCCTGATATGTGAGTCGAAGGTACAACTTGGAGACAGTCACAGGTGTAATGAGAGGAAGGGTGGGCGGTGCGCGGAGGTTCAGTGTCGGGGCCAGCGATGTGGGAGGATGGGAAGTTACATGGTCATTTCCTCCTCCCCTCAGCCACCCTCAGCTCTTTCTGTACAGGTGTGACAAAGAACATGCATATGTCTGTTTTGACTCTAGAAATTCTTAGTTTGAGGATCAGCTCAGACCGAGGAGCCCAGCGTTGTCATAGCCTCTTTGGTTCATTGGGAATTAGCTGTCAGTGTAGCTTAATGAAAACATTGGTCGCCCTGGGCATGGTCTGGGATCCTAGAATATACTTCTTGGCCTTCACTCTTTGGGTCATGGGTATTTTAGAAGTTTCTTAGAGTGCCTGAGGTTTTCAGAGTCCTTAGTCTCATGTGTTTCCCGGCTCCTGGTTAATGGGGCCATGGTTTGATGACCGTGGAAGTACAGTGGGGGAGCTAGCTGTCTTACTGGGTTTGCATCACATTTGTATTTTCCTATTCATATGCACTTTGACCTCAAAACCATTGATTTCCACCAAATCTGTGGAGAAGAATAACTTTCACGGGTGTCAGTTTTGGGGGTTTGAAAACTAGCTTTTTGTGATATAGGATGTAAATAAAATGAGAAAGGGTGGTTTTGCCATTCTAGGCCCAGCTAATTGGGTTGAATGGAGGGCTCGTGGTGCACACCTTGTGTCCCCGGCTGTGTGCAAGGCTCCTGTGTTTGTGACCAGTGCTGCAGGGTCGGCTCGTCATCCCTGCTTTCCACTTGAGAAGGCTGATGCTCAGCCACATCCTGCTGACTGTGTCCCACAGCTTCCAGGTGGAAGGTTCTTGGGCCTGTGGGGAACGGAGAGGGCCATGCCTCTGTGAACATGGCTCGTGTTTTCAGTCTCCAGCTTTCTGTGTGTGCCCTTTTAGGTCACGTGTTGCTGCTTTAGCCCTTTTAAAGCCTTCTTGCTATTTGCTGGAACAATGCACGGCTCAGTCGTCGTGTGGGATCTACGAGAAGACTCTCGGATACATCAGTATGTGAAGCTGAGTGACTGCTTCTGGACGTTCAGGACATCAACATTTTCTACTGGTCAGTGACACCTGCCTGCCGATCAGATGTCTCTAGGAAAGCCATGACAGATTTCAGGAACGTCATTCAGATTACCTTAGAGGATGGAGTCTGACCTATGAGCAAAGGGGCGATTGATAATAGAAAAAGCAAAATTCCATCCAGGTGATGCACAGTCAGTGGCCAACATTGACTGGAATGTTCTGTCTTGGTAAATTTGTGGATTCCAAATCTTCAATGAGATAACTTTTAGTTTTAAATTTGCTTATGGCAAATTGGTATGTGTCCACTCCTGTGGCTTAGTTAATTCCTCTAATGTGTGAAATAGAAGGAAAGTTAGTCTCCTCTTGGGGTACAAAAGGAACCAGAACAACTGGACCTGCCAGTATCCTTAGTTAGACTCACGTGAATACTTCGTGCCATGCGGCTCCAGTTGCAACCACAACCACCACAACCACAGCTACAACCATCACAACTGCAACCACAACCACCACCACATCTACAACAACAACAGCAGTCACAACCACCACAGCCACAATCACGGTCACCACCACAACTGCACCTGCAGCCTCAGCCTCCTGCTCTGCCCCCTGGTGGGCACTTGGTGCTCTGGGGCTTCCTCTCAGTGCTTCATGGATATGCATCCCCGCTGCTCAGGGAGAGGAGACTTGTCCAGGGTCTGCACTCAGAACCGACTGTCACTCTGTCTTCCTGTCCTGCCCATGCTTGGTTTTGTGTCTCCCCTTTCCCACTGGCCATGGATGGGTCTTCTGTCTCTGTAGTTGTACCTTTTCCAGATGTCAGATAAGTGGAGTCATGCAGAATGTGGAAGCTTTGAGTCTGGCTTCCTTCACTTGCCTTATGCATTTGCAGTTCATCTGTGTTGCTGTGTGTCAGCGGCTCACTCTCCCTCTGCTGAGCAGTAGTCCGCTGTGTGGACTAGGTTTGTGTCTTCACCCACCAGTCGGTGGGCACTGGTTAATTCCAGTTGTTGGCGATTATGAATAGAGCCTGCCTCAAGGGCCTGTATCAAAGTGGTGGCACCACTTTGCATTCTCAGCAATTGTGAGTTCCTGGTGCTCTCCATCCTCACCAGCATGTGTGTCACACGTCAGCTTTTTAGCCATTCTGATAGATGTGTAGTGCTCTGTCATTCTGGTTTCAATTTGCATCTCTCTGACTACATGAGAATATGGAGCATCTTTTTATAGGCTTATTTGCCGTTTGTCTTCTTTGGTGAGGTTCAGGTCTTTTGCACATTTTTAAGTTGATTTGTTCTTGCTTATTCTTGAGTTTTAAGAGTTCTTTGTGTATTTTGGATAACAGTCCTTTATCAGATGAGTGTTTTGCATATTTTCTCCCCATTTATGGCTTGTCTCTTCATTCTCTTAACCAAATAGTACTTTTAAACTTTCGTTTCCTAATCACCCCTTCATGAAATGTTAATACCACATATATATTGTCTATCTCTTTAGTACTATATCTGTGTTTTATACATTAAAACAGCAATTTTTTTTGTCCCTCAACAACTAATTTTTGCCCCTCTGCGGATGATATTGCCGCTATCGAGAATGTTTGAGTTTATAGGTACCTTATGGGTTTGATGCTGTTAGAAAAGATGTCTTTTAAAGATGTGCATTTTCTGGGGCCGGCCCCGTGGCTGAGTGGTTAAGTTTGCGTGCTCCGCTGTGGCGGCCCAGGGTTCAGATCCTGGGCGCGGACATGGCACCACTCGTCAGGTCATGTTGAGGCAGCATCCCACATACCACAACTAGAAGGACCTACAACTAAGATATACAACTATGTACGGGGGAGTTTGGGGAGATAAAGCAGAAAAAAAAAAAGGAAAGATTGGCAAGTTGTTAGCTCAGGTGCCAATCTTTAAAAAAAAAAAAAAAAAAGATGCACATTTTCTAATGCTGCTGATGTTACTAATTAGCCTTTGAATTCACTACCATGTTCAAAACACTAAAACGCTCAAGTTTTTAAACTCTTTATCAAATAAATTACTCCATTAAAATAGTTCCTTCATTTTCTTTTGCCATCTAAGTATTGTCACTAAAACCTACAGTTTCCAGTGAGCTCCCAGTGGTGAGAGAACTGTGGAGCTTGTGCTGGAAACCCTCAAGTCAGGAGAGCAACCTCTGCCAGGGCGAGGCCCCTTCAGCCTCACTGGGTCTGAACCCTGTTGTTTATTCGTTTCTGAGACAGTTTTGTCTTTTTCTTCATTTTCTTTCCTGAGTTCAACTCCAACTTTCGTTTTATTTCTTGCCGTTTTTCTATCCATTTCTGTTGTGGGTTTCTGATTCTGGGTGTTTTGTTTGCTTGCTTTAAATACCTTTCCTAATGCTTTTGAGGACATGGGATGCAGTCTGGAGTGGTGAACTTTGGTCTTCTGTTTCGAGCTTGTTTTTTGGGGGGAGAATTTTCATCAGCTTAAATGCTTTGATTTGCATTTTCTGTTTTTTCTTACAGTAGCTTTGTATGGAATTTGTCTGATTTTTTTCTACTCCTGGCCATTTTGTAGGTGGATATTGCTCTACTAGTTTGTGAAGTGTCATTTCTCTGATGGTCCTGTTGCTCTGGGTGGTGGGTGGTTGGGGCTGGTGGATCTGTCCTCTCCCGAGTCTCCCCTACTCCCTGCTCCCTGTGCTGCTCTGTCTGTGTGCCCCTCCTCCTCCAGAAGCAGTGCTGTTGTCAGTGTTCCCCTCCATCCTGCTTCACTTCCCAGCCCTGTCTATGCCTGGAGCTGGTGAATGGGCCACCAGGGTCCTGCCCTGGGAGTTAGATTTTCTCTCCGAGGGCGCTTTGGTCTGGCCTCCGTTCTGTCTTTGGGACTCTCTCTTACTGTGGAGAGCCTGACCCTCCTTCCCACCCTCCTGCCTGTAGACTCACAGAGATGTGGCAGCTCGTCAGAATTGGTGCTTGGAGGTCTGTGGTCTCCGTTTCATGGTAATGTGAAAGCAGTGGTCACATATCATTTTGTCTGTGGCCCATGTTCGGAGGATGTGTCCCAGAAGCACCCATGTTTGTGCCTGCGTAGCGTTAACTGTATTTCTGTGACTTGTGCTTACATGTGGTACTGTGTGCTGTAAATCCTAGATGGTGTCCTTACGTCAGTGAACCACCGCAGTCCTCTTCAAGCAATAGAGCCCATCTCAGCGTCTGTCTACAAAAAACAGAGTTTTGTCCTTTCACCCTTTTCTACTCAGGAAGGTACATGATCCTTCACTTCCTTAAAGTCCTTAAATCTAGTTATGAACTGTAGTTTCCTTGTTTACAGGCCGTTTCTTCTGTTTCTGTTTTCCTTAGAAATGTCAGGTTTGTCATTCCACATTGCTTCCTTGGACCAGAGTGGGGTTCTCAACATGTGGGTGAGTAAGACGTGCCTGGGCTCATGGGGCTGCGCCGACTGAATGCACAGGCTCTCTGCCCTACTGTTTGTGCCTGGTCTGGGGCACGAAGACTGGGGGGACAAGAACAGGCTGAGCTAAGACTGGAAAACCAAGGGCAAGACTGGGTCTACTGGGAATCCCCTGCAGGAATTCCTGTGGGAATGAGGAATGAGAACTGCAGCAGAGTCAGGGCCAGAGGATGGGATCAGGAGCATGTGCTTTAGAGGTTGTGCTGAGGCTGTTGGTAAGTCCCTGAGTGGAGAGAAATGAGACATGATAAGAAAGGGATCGTTACTATTTAAAATATGGGTTCTGGGGCCAGCCCCGGGGCCTAGTGGTTAAATTCAGCATGCTCCACTTCAGCGGCCTGGGTTCGGTTCCCAGGTGCGGACCTACACCACTCATCAGTGGCCATGCCGTGGCGGCTCACATCCAAAAAAAATAGAAGGAGATTGGCAACAGATGTTAGCTCATGCCAAATTTTCCTCAGCAAAACAAAATAAAATATGGATTCTGAAGTTAAGGTGCGGTCTTTTTTCTGGAGCAGTGACATTCTTAGCGCCTAATATAGTATGCTGTCTCAATAAGAGCTACAAATGCTTAGATTGTTTCATAATTATACTGTATTAATATTCATTTTCAATATTCTGTTTCTAGGTGGTTGTTGAATTACCAAAGGCAGACGTTGCAGGTTCAATAAGTGATTTAGGTAACTATTAAATAAAAACTTAATTTTAGTCGAGGTTTGCTAAAATGAATAGAGTTTAAAGAAACCAATAACTGCATGGAAAAAATAAGTAATTAACTACCTGAGAAAAATATTACAGTTGGTTATTATATAACCTTATTGACCATGGAACAAGCACCTTGGTCAGAGTGAGTACGTGCTACTCTAGTTGACTGAATGTTTTCATTTCAGTAAGCTCTCATATGCTGGGTTTATAACTCTGTGTCTCTGTCCTGTGAGGGACGTGAGCTCGGGTCATGCCTCTTCTAGTGTGTCTGCATCCTGTGAGGGACGTGAGGTCGGGTCGTGCCTCTTCCAGTGTGTCTCTGTCCTGTGAGGGATGTGAGCTCGGGTCGTGCCCCTTCCGGTGTGTCTCTGTCCTGTGAGGGACGTGAGCTCGGGTCGTGCCCCTTCCGGTGTGTCTCTGTCCTGTGAGGGACGTGAGGTCGGGTCGTGCCTCTTCCGGTGTGTCTCTGTCCTGTGAGGGACGTGAGCTCGGGTCGTGCCCCTTCCGGTGTGTCTCTGTCCTGTGAGGGACGTGAGGTCGGGTCGTGCCTCTTCCGGTGTGTCTCTGTCCTGTGAGGGACGTGAGGTCGGGTCGTGCCCCTTCCGGTGTGTCTCTGTCCTGTGAGGGACGTGAGGTCGGGTCGTGCCTCTTCCGGTGTGTCTCTGTCCTGTGAGGGACGTGAGCTCGGGTCGTGCCCCTTCCGGTGTGTCTCTGTCCTGTGAGGGACGTGAGCTCGGGTCGTGCCCCTTCCGGTGTGTCTCTGTCCTGTGAGGGACGTGAGGTCGGGTCGTGCCTCTTCTGGTGTGTCTCTGTCCTGTGAGGGACGTGAGCTCGGATCGTGCCTCTTCCGGTGTGTCTCCATCCTGTGAGGGACGTGAGCTCAGGATGTCCCTTTTCCTGCGCTCAGTGTCTAGGTCCTGGACTCTGCTCAGGTGGGCTTTTGTCCCTTGTGTTTTGGCACATCGTTCACTGCTTTGACTCCCAAAGTTCTTGGAATAATGTTGGCAAAGGGCACCGTGGTCTGGTGTCTGGGGAGCGGAAGTGACTGAATTACCTGTAGCCGTTGGCTGTGTTGATGCCGTACAGCGTGGTTTCAGTTTCAGAGAGGACTCAGTGATCGTGGAGCAATCCATCTGCTGCTTCATGAGGTCTGGGTTCCCATTTTTGCTCCCACTACTCATGTTCTAGGACAGCCCCCTTCACCCTTTTGTGTCTGGTATGTTCTGTGTAGATCAGTAAAAAGTGGGACTGGAGTGACACTGACTTATTGCCGTCTTCTAGAAATTAGAGAAGGGGCATTTTGTATCAGCGGAGCAAATACTGTGTGTTGCAGTGAAATGTCAGTGATGTTACTTGAAAGTTACTGTGGACTCCGACTTTAATAAAGCAAGAGTGAGTCGTTTCACTGATTCCACTGGTAACCATTTTTGAGGTGGAGTAACCATTTTTCAGTATTTTCTTCGTATAGCGTGTGCTTATTATGAAGCATTTGTACTCTGTGTGTCTGTGTTGGAGACTTCTGCATTGCCCCTAGAATCTCAGAAGGTTAGAACAGGACGTGGCCTGGGAGGGTGCACGGTCCCTTCCTCGATGTGGATCAATGACAGGGCAGGATGCACAGTCAGTCTTCGAGCTGACTCTGCCCTCATTCAGGCTTATGCTCCACACCCAAGAATGTCACCATTTGAGACTGATCCTGAGGCTGGCTGTGCTCCCCACTTGTGCCATGACCAAGGTGTTCTTTAGGAATTATGGATGGTGGTAGGAATTAAAGAGTCTCTGCCCATAGTTCATTCATAATCTGCTTGTGGAGACAAAGTCATTTTGCATAAAAATAGTTTGTAGTGTGTATGGGATAGTCACACAACGGATGTTATAGGACATTGTGTATTTCATTGTTAAATGTTGCTGTATAAAAACACCCTTTATTTATAGAACCACTTACCCAAACTCTGACCGTGCTCCAACTTTGCCTTAAGGAAAAGAAGGGATGACATTCACACCAGCAAGCAGTGCTGGAAGAGCTCTGGGCATTAAATGCCCTCAGGAGAGTCTGGGGTGGTTGCAAGCTCTGCTGTGTGTGCCTTAGATTAGTGGCTGGTTGGAGAACTCAGACTGTGGTTAGAACTGATCAGCAGGGTCTTTCCTTCATTCTTTGGTGAAGTGTTCTCTGAACAAGCTAGGTGCCGTCCTGGGTTCCAGGGAAACAAGCCCAAGAGCATATGGGCATGCCCAGGGAGTGTGGGCTCCTGGGGAGCCAGACACAGCCACGTGTCAGGCCACGAGCATTGATAATGTCACTGCTAGACCAGAAGAAGGCTTCTCAAGGGCTGAGGGCCCAGTCAGGTGAGATGTCCCAGGGAGGTGACAGCTGGGCCAAGACTGTCAGCACTGGAGTTCTTCCGGGCAAGCGGCATGCTGGGGAGATGGAGGGCAGTTTCAGATCTGTGAATAGCAGCATTGGACCTTCTCGCATCAGATTTATAACCGTGACGAGTCCCGTGCTGTGTAATTATGGTCGTCCTTTCCAATTGCAAGTTGAATTTATTTATGTACTTTTAATTCAACTACTCCCAAGGTTCTGGGCGGTACCTTGCCCAGAATTTGGATTTCAATGTATGCAAATCTCTAGCTCCCTCCTTTGTAGTAATTACAAAAAAGAAGGTGATGTTGACAAAGCCAGTGAAAGGCCGAGATGTCAGAAATATGGCCATAAATTTGGGAAGTCCGGGGAGGAATCGTAGCTCGTTGGTTGAGAGAAGTTGGGAGAGATGTTGAGGAGCGGTAAGAAGTGACCATCTGCTGAGGAGCGCGTGCAGTCTGCTGTGCATTCCGCAGCGAGCAGGGAGGACTCCGCATCTCCACAGTCTGAGGAGGAGGCCCCGAGTGTTCCAGGGAGCCGAGACACCAGTGGATGTTTACACACAGTGTTTCTGTTGGAGCCTAAGAGGTGTTAAATACTGATTGTTTTGCTTAGCGTTCTGCCCTTATTTTATCCAATTTGAAAATCTGAAAGCTTCTGGATCTTGATTCCACCAGTGCTTTTCCCGTAAGGCTCTGAACTGCAGGGTTTTGAGTCCTATCCTAAGGCAGTTACAGGAACCTCGCTGCATTGGCAACATGCTTTGTCTAGCTATGTTTAGATATTATTTCCTAACACAGAGATGTAAGCAATGAAAAATAATTTCCAGGCAACTGTAATTGGATTTTGGTTTAACTTGTATTAAGAGGTGCATTTATTTCTGGTTTCTCTGTTTTTAGGTTTAATACCTGGAGGGAGGATAAAATTAGTGCATAGTGCTGTGATTCAGCTGAGTGACAGGTAAGAGTGCGCCACTTTGAGCTACAACAGTTCCCCTTTTCTGATAAAGACCTGTTTCCCACAGAAGGAAGTCACATTAGGTCACTGCGTCTACAGTCAGTGCATCGTCAGGTTTATGTTGAAGAAATCCAGCTTCTCACGTTGTGTGTTTGCTAAATAGTGTATTTGCTGACTAGTTTGTTATTGATGAGTCTGTGTGATAAATACAATCGCCAGGTAGAGCTAACATTTTTTCTTCAATTAAGGTATTTCCTATCATATAAATTGGTACTATTTGGCTATTTTTCATCCAATTTTAGTAGAACCCTGAAGTTAAACTTTTATAGATAAATTTCAGGAACCAGAGTTTTTTTTTATTGCAGTAACATTGGTTTATAACATTATGTAAATTTCAGGTGTACGTCGTTATATATTTTGATTTATGTCTAGATTCCATCATGTTCACCACCCAAAGACTATCTATAATCCATCATCACACATGTGCCTGATCGCCCCTTTCGCCCTCCTCCCTTCCTTCTCCCCCTCTGGTAGCCACCAATCCAATCTCTGTTGCCATGTGTTTGTTTGCCATTTTTATCTTCTACTTATGAGTGAGATCATACAGTATTTGACTTTCTCCCTCTGACTTATTTCACTCAGCAGAATACCCTCAAGGTCCATCCATATTGTCACAGATGGCTGGATTTCATCATTTCTTATGGCTGAGTAGTATTCCATTGTGTCTATAATACCACATTTTTTTAGTCCATTAGTCCCTTGATGGCACCTAGGCTGCTTTCAAGTCTCAGCTATTGTGAATAATGCTGTGATGAACATAGGGGTGAGGAATCAGAAATACTAATATGAAAGTTTTATTCAGAAATTTTGATTTCTGCTTTTACTCATATAACTTAATATGACATAAAAATTCTTATTAAATGTACAAATATTGTTTGTGGTACTTATATGTTCCATGTTAATTTATTTCCCAGAGATGTCTTTTCTTGTCATTTACTACAGTTGGGCTAACTGTCAGCATGAGATTTACTCTTGACAAAATTTTCATGTTAGCTTGATTCCTCATCATCAGACAGAATACTTCTGGGTTGTATTAATGAATTCATACATGCTTCAAGATTGCAAATCACCTTCAGTTTATTTAAATATAATTATGATGAGGAATCAGTTATGTTTAAAAACGTCATCTAATACATTGCAGAGCCAACCACAGGTGATTCCTAGGCTGGCCACAGACCCCCTGGTCCTTCATGCACATGGGCGATTCCTGGGCTAGTGGAGACCCGTGCAGCTGATAGCGAGTTTCCCCCAGGTTCCCAGCACTGTCCCCTCTAGACTTGTATGCAATAAACAGCCGTTTGGACTTCATTCAGCTCTGCTGAGTGTGTCCTGTGTACCAGGCTCTGTGGCATGGCCTCTCACCTCTCAGGATCCCTGCATGTCAGAGGAGTGGAGTTTAGTGGGAGGAAGTTTTTTTAAAAGATTTTATTTTTCCTTCTTCTCCCCAAAGCCCCCCTGGTACATAGTTCTATATAATTTTAGTTGTGGGTCCTTCTAGTTGTGGCATGTGGGATGCCGCCTCAGCGTGGCTTGATGAGCGGTGCCATGGCCGCGCCCAGGATCTGAACTGGTGAAACCCTGGGCTGCCAAAGTGGAGCGTGTGAACTTAACCACTCAGCCACAGGGCTGGCCCCAAGTGGGAGGAAGTTTTGATCCCTTGGGATCAGTGCCTGGGAAAGGGGGAGAGGCAGCAGACCTGGGCTGCAAGGAGGACTTGAACTGTGAGCTGTGATGTGGCCCCAGGACAGCTGCCCAGCCTTGGGAGCTCTGAGCTGGAACAGATTTCCATAGGTGACATTGCCAGGCCCTCATGCTCTCTTCTCCCATCAGTTATTGAGCATGGGCATCCCTGGAGAGCATGTGACTTGGGTGGAGCATCCCTGGCAGCTGGGGAACAAGCCCTCCTCTGTGGGGGGACCTGGCGGCATGTCCTTATTCACAGTGGTTATGACACGCATGTGAAGTGCTCTGTTGGGGCATGCACATGGCACTTGGGAGGTCAGAGCAGGGGACAGACTGAAGGATGGAGTGAAATGGCGACTGCTTGGAGAGGTGACAGCTAAGATGGGAGCTAGACAAGGAGTGTGCTCTAGTCAGAGGGAGCAGCACATGGGGGCCTAGAAGAATGAAGATGCATTTAGGAAACTGCCAGTAGGTTTGCTGTGGCGAGAGATCACAGCGAGTCGGCAGCCAGACCCCAAGACTGTTTGCTGTGCTGGATGGTTTAGACGATTCTCTTGAGGGTGATAGGGAGCCATTACAGGATTTTAAGGCAGGGAGTGGCTTGTCTTATTTATGATTTAGAAAGATCAACTTGGCTGCACTGTAAGGTTGGAACAGACGAGGGGAGGCTGGAGTCAGGGAGACCGGTTGGGAGGCTGTTGTAGGGATCAATCTGGAAGATGAGGGTCTGAGCCAAGTTGACTAGTGTGGATATGGAGGGTAGGTTTCAGTTAGAGGATGGAATTGGAAGAAGCTGGTGACTGACTGGCTCTAGGAACAATGGGAGGGAGGAACCTGCCCCTATTACTGGGTACTGTGCACAAAATGAGAAATAGGAGGGAAGGAGAGGGTTATGGGGAGTGGGAGGGGCCAGATCTGGTCAGCCTAGGGTGGGCCGAGCTTGTGGTGCTCGTAGAGATGACTAGGAAGCTGTTGGCTCCACAGCAGGGATCTCAGCTGGAGGAACAGATTTGGGAGCCCTCAGCTGATAAGTGACATCTGCAGTCCTGAATGTGAGTGTGAGAAGAGAGTGGCCAGGTTCCTGACTTCTGACTAGGGCAACGTGGCAGAAGGAGCAGCTGTGGGCCCTTTCCTGCTACAAATAGATACACTGTGTAAGGTAAAAAACCAGCAATAAACTAAATAGAGTTTTTAAAATGAAGGAGAGGAAAATACCACAACAGGGATGGAACTTGAAGTCAGCGTGCAAGCTTCTGCATGGTGTGGAGGTTGGGCTATTGGGCCCGGCTGTCATGGACCTCCACGGCTGTGCCGGGCTCAAGCTGTGCAGGACCAGTGATACATTGGGCTTATCTGAGGTGGGGACCTGGAACTGAGACCCTGCAAAGGACTCTGGAACTCACTGCCCCTTCAGTGAGAGAGAAACTCAGAAAGCTCCACCCCAGCCCATGGAAGACAGGGGAGTGTGGAAGACTAGAAATCCCCAGCTCTGTGTATGGTCTGGGATCTGCAAGCTGAGAAGTTAGCATCAGGGTCCCAGACCAGTGGCCCCACAGCAGCTGCCGTGAAGGCACAAGGACAACTACCTGTGGGCAGAATACTTCCACATGCTGGACTCACAGCGTTCACCCAGGAAGAAGTGCTTTACGGGAAAATTACAAAACTACAAGCATGAGGAGACATCCCCCATGTGCAATGAATAGGATTAGCACACCAACAAGTCAAGATAATTGTGCAATCTAAAAGACATTTCTATGGGCCAGCCCCGTGGCTGAGTGGTTAAGTTTGTGACCTCCACTTTGGCGGCCTGGGGTTCGCTGGTTTGGATCCTGGACGCGGACCTAGCACTGCTCATCAAGCCATGATGTGGCAGCATCCCACATAGAAAAGCTAGAATGACCTACAACTAGGATATACAACTATGTATTGGGGCCTTAGGGAGAAAAAATAAAATAAAACAAATAAAAAGACATTTTTAGAAATGAAACTCTTATTTCTGAAATTTAAAAGTTAGCAAATGGTTAAGTAGCAGATTAGATATAACTATAGAAAAAATTAGTGAATGGGAGGATAGAACTGAAGAAATTATCAAGAGCCCAGTAACAAAGAACAAGAGATGGGACACAGAGTGGCCTATCACATATCTAATGACACATGATAAGTGGTAAGTGTGTTAAGGATTATCATTATCCTTACAGTTTCAAAGCTATCTATCTCTTCATCTTTTTGATTTTTTTCTTTGCAGCCTTTCCCATAAAGGTTATGAATTTTGGGGGACCACACAAACACTGAATATTAAATTTCTGCCTTCAGATCCTAATCACTTTATTGTTGGCACAGACATAGTGAGTAATATTTTAAATTTCATTCTGTAACTCTTCTTTCTTGGAGTTGCTTGATAAATATCTTCATTAAAGATTAACTTACTGTTTGCTTTTACTATAATGTTGTTTAGATTGTTTCAGGAATAATAGCTTTATCCAACTTGTACCTAATGCTTTTCTTGGTCACCATTGTCATCTTCTTACCAGGGTCTCATCAGCCATGGTACCAGACAAGACTTGAGAGTATCTCCCAAGTTGTTCAAACCCCAGCAACATGGTATGAGACCAGTAAAGGTGAACGTGATTGACTTTTCACCGTTTGGAGAGCCAACGTTCCTGGTAAGAACGTCTGTTCTATTCAGGCAGCACCTTGCAGGGTCTCTGGGGTCTCTCAGAGGTGTCACTTGCTGGTGCACTTTGGCACCACTTGTTGCTGCGCGGTTTCTGAAGGTCCTTTTGTGCAGTCAGTGCAGATCATTCCCACTGGCTATTGAAAGGATCTTCTTGAAGCTGTTTCTTTCGACATAATTTCAGGCTCACTGACAAGTTACAAGAAGAGCACAAAAGGTTCCTGCTTGCTCTCTCGCGGGTCCCCACACGTCACATGTTTACCTGTGGCTCCATGCTCTCCCCGCTGCGTGGAGATTTACCTTCTTTAACCGTCTGGGAGCAAGTTGCCGACCTGATACTCCATCCCTAAACAGTTGAATGTCGGTTTCCTACAATAGGATCATTCTTCTGTAACCACAGTCAGTAGTAATGGTCAGGAAGTTAATGCTGATACTGTCCTGTTACCTCATCTGTGGATCTGATTGAAATGTCATGATTATCCCAGTGATGTCCTTTATTAGCAAAATAGCATCCCAGGTCAGGTGTCTGATTCAGTTATTGTGTCTCTTCAGGCTCTTTTGATCTGGGACAGTTTCCCCATCTCTTATGACCTTGGCACCTTTGAGGGGCATGGCATGCTGCTCAGTTTGAGTTTGTGTGAGATTTCCCCACTGTTAGCCTCAGGCTTTACACTCTGACCTGTGTCAGCTGCTTCCTCCACTGTCACCATGTCTCCCTCTCCCTTTCTGGTTAACGAGGATCTTGTGGGGAGATAAGTGGATGCTGGCAGTATCCTGCTGCCCCCCGATTCTCTCCTGCTGGGCCTGATGTCCGTTGTGATTCTGGCCTGCATCTGTCAGATGGCGGTTTTCCAATCCCGTTGCTAACTCTCCGTTTACTGGTTGGCTGTCCACTGGAGGGAAAACTGCTTTCTCTGCTGTGTGGCATGTATGTACATGGTTCTTTCATAAATGGGCACACATGGCTTTTTACTCCATCCTCTCACTGCCTTTGTATACTGCTGCTTAGCTTATCCCAGGGGCGTCCCTCGAGGGGTTCCGGTGTACTTCTGACATCATTCTTTGAGCCCTTCTTTGCTTTCCGGTACAGTAAGTTCGGAATCAGCCATTTCTCCAAGGAGTCTTGGCTCCTGTTAGGAGAAAAATATCTAGAAACCAAGATCTGGACAGTAAGAAGTGCTCACTATGCAGGACACAACGTCGATACCCACTTTGATCTCTGTCTGCGTATCGTAAACGAGGCACTCACACCCACATCTCTAGTTCCAGGCTCACTCAGGGTTTCCTGTGCTCACCCCGACAGTGGGGAACCTGGCTCCCGTTTTCCACAATGTGTGTATTTCCTCACTCCTAGAACACCGGAATGTCTCATGATTGCTTACTCATGCTTCTGCTTTTTTTGAGTGTGGGACAGTAAAACATTAAGTAAAAAGGAATTAAGCTTCTCTTTCTAAGCTAAAAATTTTACTAAACCAGCGAAGTTTTGTTTTATGGAAATTTGAATGTCAGGGGAATATATAGCCACATTGTTGATGCAAGTGTATCTGATTTTTTTAAAAACGTGGCTTATTTATTTCCATGGAGCCAGTCTTTTTTTTTTTTGTGAGGAAGATTAGCCCTGAGCTAACTACTGCCAATCCTCTTTTTGCTGAGGAAGACTGGCCCTGAGCTAACATCCATGCCCATCTTCCTCTACTTTATATGTGGGGCACCTGCCACAGAATGGCTTGCCAAGTGGTGCCGTGTCTGCACCCGGGATCCGAACCGGTGAACCCCGGGCCACTGAGAAGCGGAACGTGTGAACTTAACCGATGCGCCACCGGTCCAGTCCCTGGAGCCAATCTTAATGGCCTCTGCTTGAACCAGTGATATTCAACTTTGTTAAAAATAAATACCTATTTATATATTCACTGAATTCATTGATTATTAGTCATTTTGGGGAGGGGAAGAGGGTCCAACGTGTGTCAGAATCTCCGAGGTGAGAGCTCACCTGTGAGGACAGATGTAATGTTATTATTTTATGTCCAGAAAACAAAAAATAAACCAAATGTTTTTGCTGTACAAATTGAAGAAAGCTAATGCTCTGAAAAATTTTCCTGGCTGCTGAGATTGAGTAAAAAATAAAAAGAATCGTGATCAACAGTTTCCCTTCCCTCCAGGCCGGCTGTTCTGACGGGAGCATCAGGTTATACCAGCTGACGTCCGAGTACCCGCTCATGCAGTGGAACAACAGCACCGGCGGCCGGGCGGTCACCAGCCTGCAGTGGTCCTTGACAAGGCCTGCTGTGTTTCTGGTCCAGGATGACGCGTCCTGTGTTTATGTTTGGGACCTCCTTAAAAGTGATTTGGGTCCTGTAGCCAAACAACCCGTCTCTCCAGACAGGTAAGTCTGATGAATCCATGATGAGCTGTCACAGGCAATTTTTTGCAGAAGCATCCTTGATGGTCTTTCTTACTTAATTTATGCAGAAGGTTGCTACACTTTAAAATGTAGTTATTTACATTTAAATTTAAATGTTACTTATATATTTGTATATTTATATGTTTTAGTAATATTTTAAAAACCACTTTAAAATGTGTTTATTTCATATTTAGTCCAGAATAGTCTGTGGATTAAAGGGTTCATACTGAACTGTTTCCTCATCATTATCATTCTACAAATAAAAGAACTTTTGTAAGCTCCATAGTTATGTTCGTTTACCAGTCTTAAAAATTCAGAGTATGTCTGAGGGATAAATAAAGTATTCTTTCTAGTTTCTAAGAAAGGATACTACATGTGAATTAATAATCCATGTAATTCCACCTTGAGGTCATTCCTCTGCCCCAAGGTGATGTCACAGTCAGACGAGTCCTGTGTGGCCTCTATATTGTTTAATGTGAAACCCGTTCATGTGAATGTAAGACGTGAGGATTGTCATTGGTACACTTTAAATAATTCCTTATTTAATTGAAAGTTGAGATATTTATAAAAGCTTTCATTGTGAAAGGTCTCTCTTGACCCCACTTGGTCTATTCATCTATCTCTTTTCTTGAGATTTTATTTCTTATCAGTAAATTCTTCTACTGTGAAGACTTGTAATAATCTGGGGAGGGTGGGGGACCGCCCAGCTGTATCCCACATCCCTTTTGTAAAGGAAAGAGGAGGATAAAAATGATCAAAAACAGAAAGTAGTTTGACAGATTGTTGAGGAGATACTGTTAGGATCTGAAAAAAATTGAAAATTGCATTATGTAGTTCAAGTACTAGGTATGCTTACGTTATTCTAATGATTAAAAAGACACATCAATATATAGACTGATTCACTTATAAACACACTGCACATACAGTTCATTCCCACAGATTCGTCAGCTATTTGATAAAACATATTTCTGTATTTACTTTTATTGAGGTATAATTGACATATATTACATTAGTTTCAGGTGTGCAACATAATGATTCGATATTTGTATTGGGAAATGATCACCACAGTAAGTCTAGTTAACATCGTCACCATGTGAAGCTACAGAATTGTTTTTTCTTGTGGTAAGAACTTTCAAGATCTGCTGTCTCAGCAACTTTCAGATACGCAGTGCAGTGTTATTAACTCTAGCCACCACACTGTGCATCACACCCTCAGGACTTGCTTATTTTATCACTAGAAGTTTGTACTTTTTGACCCCCTTCACCCGTTTTGCCCATCCCCAGCCCCTGCCTCTGGCAGCCACCAATCTACTTTCTCTATGAGTCTTTTTTCCCCCTAGATTCCACATGTGAGTGAGATTATACAGTATTTGTCTTTTTCTGTCTGACTTACTTCACTATCATAATGCTCTCAAGATCCATCCATGTTGCTGTAAATGGCAGGATCCTTATTTTTTAAGGCTGAGTAATATTCCATTGTGTATATAGATACACACACACACACACACACACGTATACATATATATATATACACACACATGACATTTTCTTTATCCATTCCTCCATTGATGGACACTTAGGTTGTTTCCATATCTTGACTGTCGTAAATGATGCTGCTGTGAACATGGGGGTGTGGGTATCTTTTCAAATTAGTGTTTTCATTTTCTTCAGATAAATACCCAGAAGTAGAATTGCTGCGTCATATGGTAGTTCTGTTTTTAGTTTATTGAGGAACCTCCATACTGTTTTCCATAGTGGCTGCACCAGTTTGCATTCCCACCACCAGGGCACAAGGGTTGCCTTTTCTCCACATCCTCGCCAACGCTCGTCGTCTCTTGTCTTTTTGATAATAGCCATCCTAACAGGTGTGAGGTGGTATCTCATTTGTGGTTTTGGATTGTATTTCCCTGATGATTAGTGATGTTGAGCACCTTTTCATGTACCTGTTGGCCATATGTGTGTCATCTTTGGAAAAAAGTCTGTTCAGGCCTCTGCACATTTTTTCATCAGATTTTTTTGCTATTGAGTTGTGTGCATTCTTTGTATAGTCATGTGTTGCTTAGTGATGGAGAGAGGTTCTGAGACATGCGTCGTTAGGCAGTTTTGTTGTTGTGCAAACATCGTAGAGTGCATTTACACAAACCTCGATGGTATAGCCCACCACACACACAGGCTGTATGGTGCTAATCTTATGAGACTGCCATTGTGTATGTGGTCCGTTGTTATGTGTCACCTGACTATATTCTGGATATTAACCCCTTATCAGATATATGATTTGCAAATATTTTCTCCCATTCTGTAGGTTGCCTTTTTGTTTTGTTGATGGTTCCCTTTGCTGTGCAGCTTCTTAGTTTGGTGTAGTCCCACTTGTTTATTTTTGCTTTTCTTGCCTTTGCTTTTGGTGTCAGATCCAAAAAACCATCTCCAAGACCAATGTCAAAGAGCTTACCACCTATATTTTTGTCTAGCAGTTTTATGGTTTCAGGTCTTATGTTCAAGTCTTTAAGCCATTTTGAGTTAATTTTTGTGAATGGTGTAAGACAGGGATCCAGTTTCCTTCTTTTGCATGTGGCTGTCCAGTTGTCCCAGCAGCTTTTATTGAGAGACTGTCCTATCCCCGTCGTATGTTCTTGGCTCCTTTGTCATAAACTAATTGACCAGGTATGAACACAGGTATGTACTGAGCACCCACCAAACGCTTGGCACCACTACAGGCAGCAGGGGTGCAATAGTGAACTAGTAAGTGGGCTCACATCCTCTCGGTGGGAGATGAGTCATAAACAAAATAAGTCAAGTCCCACAATGTGTGATGGGAGGAGTGAAACCGGGGGGTGGGGTGTGTGCGGGGTCACAGATGTGGGCAGGACGTGCTGGGATTTTAAACAGGGAGGAGAAGGAAGGTCTTACTGAGAAGGGGATGTTTGGGCACAGACTTAGGAGTTTGGGGTCTTGGGGTGGACTGTGCCAGTGGGGGCCAGGTGGGGTGGCTGAGAGGAGTGGAGAGCTGCAGCAGCCCCTGGCGGTGGTGGTGGGTCAGTGTGTCCGGATCTCAGGAGAGGGCAGCTGGGCTGAAGCTGCACAGAGCATCGCAGCTGCTCAGGGAGAGGGAGCAGAGGAAAGGCTTCTGAAATGATCTAGAACATCTTCTCCCTAGACACCTCCTGTCTCAGTGGTTAGCAGCAGTGTTTAAGTTAAAGAAGTAATATTCACAGAAAGTGCTCCATTGTTTTTCTTCAACTATAAAGAAAAACAGAACAACAAGAAACTAACAGAGTTTGAACGGCAACAGTTGTGGATAGAAGGAAGAATTTTCCAGTTTCAGAGTTAAGTTAAAATCCATGATGACAACTGCCCTGCGCGCTCCGGGTCAGCAGCAGGTCCAGCTGCACACTCCGCGTCTGCAGCAGGTGTGGCCGCACGCGCCCCGGGTCAGCAGCAGGCCCTGCTGCGCGTGCTTAGGGAGCAGGCACAGTTTGGGCGGACAGAGAGGGAGTGGCAGCTGGATGTTGGACCCGACTTCAGGTTTTGTTTTCTGCTCTCTATGCTTGGATTCTGTCCAGCTCACAAATCCAAAGGACATTAAAAAATTGGCCATAGTACTGACTGGTGTTTCTACATCTACTTTAATGGTATTTTTAGAAATTTAGACACAGTTTAGTTGTGAACTATGTTCTCTTCATCCCTTGCACACCAAGCTCAGTGTCACAGTCCCAATGTGGGGAAACATTTCTTGTTTATCATCTGTCACTCATGTTTCCAAGTTTGTGGCAATTCAGCTTTACCCTGTTTTACATTAGTAATTGCACAGCAGTATTAAAGTATCGAGTAGTTAGTGAAAATTCTGATGACTTGTAAGTTTTCATGGTTGGCTCCTTGTGTGGTCTCATGAGGGCTTAATTCTCACCTGGCCCCTTGCCTGAATGATGCTGTGGGTTCTCCAGAGCAAGGGCCTGCAGCCGAGTGTAGACTATCCTGCCTCAGAGGGCTGGGTCGGGCTCTGCCGGGCGTGTGCAGGTGTGGAAGCGCAGTGCTGGCAGGCCCCCGTGAGGGTGTGCTTGCTCCCGTCACAGGGCTCTGGGAGTTGATGGGGCATTTGGGCTGTGGGGACGGGTTTACGGAATATCAATGGGCAGTTAGCCCTCATGGGGCCACGGTGGAGACTGGCACTCGCGAGGGGCTCACTGCTCTGTTCTGCTTCATTCGTGGGTCCAGCAAGTCTTGTCTGCTGTGCAGCACTGGTGCTGAGGCCTGGTCACTGTAGAGGACGAGAGGGCCGCACTGAGGGTCGTGTGGGCTAAGCATGGTTTCTGCCTTCTTGGTGATTAAAGCTGTGACAGATGTGTGATAGATGCTGAGGGGTCTCTGACCGAATTAGGCACAGTCAGGGGGTTGGGAAGGCCTCTGGGGTGATGGGGCCAAGTTGAGTCTTACAGGAGAAGGAAATGAACCAGACAAAGACGGGTGGAGACTGTCCTGAGAGGCCAGAACTGCAGGTGCTGTTGTGGGCACTGGGGTCGGGGTGGCCTTGGGCAGCCAGGAGGGCTTGATGGACTGGGATGTGTGGTGTTGAGTCTCTCTCAGCTATGGGGGTGGGGGAGGATGAGATCAGAGATGGGACCTGGTCAGAGAAATGGGGTGGTGAAGGGACACAGGGAGCAAGATCGGGCTGTCAGGGTGGCCCCAGGATTCTCAGTGTTCACTTAAGGGGCGGACAGCAGTGCCGTTCACCAGCTGGATGGAGAGCTCAGGGCAGTAGTGTAGGCTGGAGACATAGGTTTGTAAGTTTTGACATTTAATCAAAGACCCAGATGTGGATGAGATCACCTCGGAAGGAGTGGGGAGGGCCGAGGATGAGGCACCGAGGACCCGATGCAGGGACTTCCACACTGAGGACCCCCACACTGAGGACCTTACACTGGGGACCCACACATGAGGACTCCCACACAGGGGCCTCTACACCAGGGACCCCCCATACTGCAGACCCCTACACCAAGTACTCCATTCTGGGGGCCCTCACACAGGGACTCCCGAGCTCTAGTTTCAGGGGATGTGGGAAGGGTTTGTGGACTGCTGAGCTCTCAGCCTGAGAACCCAGGAGGGAGGGTGTTTCTTCCAGAACTGAGGAGGGAGGAGGCGCGAGTTATCCTGCTGACATCGAGGGAGGGGTTTCCAGCACATCATTCTCAGCGACCTTCACAAGCAGTCAGTCCAGCGACCTCCTAAATGCGGAAGTACATTTTCAGAACAGTTGCTTTAGATTTTTATACATTTATTTCTGGTCTAACGTTTCATTTTGACTGTTACTGAAATTTTTAGAATTTTTATTCCTTTTTACTCTTCCCTTGAACTTGGGAGACTCAGAATCACACAGTGTGTGCTTCTCCCTTTCAGGCTAGTGGCAATGACTGTCATGGGTGAACCGGAGAAGACCAGCGGCAGCTTCCTGGCCCTGGTACTGGCCAGAGCCTCGGGCGGCGTGGACATCCAGTTCCTGAAGCAGGAGTGGGCGACCCCAGTGGGCAACGAGCAGAGGAAGCTGCATCTACTTTTGCAGGAAGCCATGTAGAAATGGGAGAGTGCAAGATGGCTGGTGTTGCCGAGAGGACCAGGCTGAGTAGCGACCAGATGGAAGGCACGGCTGCTCAGGAGTGCTTTGACGTCCGTGCGCGTGTGCTGATGCAGGTGGAATACAGATACTCTGCACAGGATTCATCGTACAAGGACGCCACTTCACTATTCCCAGGAAGTCAGTCTCTACTTCTGAATGGAAGCAAACATTTTAGTGTGTATTCAGCTGGACTTTGAAGGAAAGAGAGTCGTGTTCAGTATGCTCTTTTTTGAGAATATTTCTACTTGTTTTTATGTGGCTCTAAAATATTGTTACGTTTATTACTATATTTTAAACAATCCACCATGAAAATGTATTTTTAAAATACATAAAATAAACATAAAATACATAAAATAAAGTTTTCTTAGTCATGCATAAAGTGACAGACACACAGGTCTTAAATTGAAAGGAGTTCCCCACTGAAATGACCTCTGCCAACCATGCCGTGGTTTCTTAAAGCTTTCTTGGGCTTCTTCTGACATTGTGTGAATGTCTATTCAGACACGTGTTGCATTGTGCTTTAGTATTACAAATTGTCTTTGTAGAAAAATAATACAAGTAAATAAATTCTCTTGAATTTTGTGCTCAGTTATAATAGGAATATAAGGGTAGGAGCATTCTGGGTTGAGATCCGAGAAAGCCCAGGAGGCCTTGCCAACACCCAGTGTTACTGGCTCAGTGTGGGGCGAGTGGTCAGTAAGGGTCTGGAGCGAGGTTCAGTCTTCTCTCTGGGCCATATATAACTTCCACGTAGCCAGCAACTGAAGGTTTCACCCCAGAACAGGATCGTCTTTTACCTGGAAGAGGTCTGGAGGCCAGCCGCCCTGATGTCACCATCATGTCACCTGATGCCCTGGGATGCAGCGTGTATACCTTACGTATCCCCACATCTCTCCCTTTCTTCCTGCGTCCCCGCATCCCCCTGCCCCAGTGTGACCCCGTGGTCCCAGGAAGCACACCGCCCTGGGCAGCCAGGCCCTTGTTAATGCTATCGGCAGAGATGTTTCTCTTTCATGGGTCAGATTGCCCTTCCTGGAACTTCCCAGTTCTGCGAGGGGCTACTTGGTACAGCAGGTCTCACGGCTCCAAGCACTGACCACTCACGAGGCTGCTCCAGACTGCACGCCCTGACTTCTCCCATCCATCTCCATGCAGGTACCTTGGCAGCAGCCAGCTGTTTTCTTATTCATGATGGTTTAAAACTGTCCAAACCCTTCCTGCTTGTTGTAAAGACACTGGAACAATAGTGTAGAAGGTGAAATGACGTTCCCCTCCTCTCCAGAGGCTTGGCGCTCTGCTTTTGCCCGGAACCTTTCTGGGCATGTACAAATGCGCACAAACACACATGCACGCACACAGAGAGACATGAACACATGCAGCGTGCACACGGGCACACACACACGTGCACACACAGGGCTCACTAGCATGCACATACATGCTCACTGGTTTGTCAAGATCCGTGTGGAAGACAGTGAATACTCCAGTGGTTGGTTGGTTTCTGTGTTGATAATTCTGAATGTTTACCCTGTCACCGTGCCATCCGTCGCTCTCTAGGTTCCATGAGAACAGGGACTTGTTCAGACCAGAGGCCTTGTTTGTCCCTGAATCCCTAGCACCTACTGCAGTGCTTGGTTTATAAGTAGGTACTTAATCTTTGTTAAACAAGTGGCCAGAATTTGGTTCGTGTTCCTTCTGCATCTTCGTTGAACTCACGATTCGCAGTCGCATTGAAGCGGGAGTGAGTGGGTATGCTTGTTCTTTGTGAATCTGTGGAAATCAGTCTTTGCTGGTGTTTCTCACTTGCAACCTGCTTAATAATTGGTCTAGAATATTTAAAAGTTGACATTACTTGTAGGTTTTTAACTTTCAGATTCCACCTTATTTCAAATTAGAATTAATATGCATCCCTCCTCCATGTTTTATATCCGTGAATTCTCAAGTATTACCCACAGTGGCCCCACAACCATATTCATTCTTTCTTTTGGGGACTCATTTGTTACCTGGGAGGTGATCTGCTTGGGCTTAGGTCTCTGAAATGCTCAGTAAGTACAAGAGAATCAGAGGTGTTCTCTTGTAGCTAGCCGCTGACTTCCTTGAGCTCCTGAGTTATGCCCAAACCACACAGATAGATCATCACGAATTGCTTTCAGGGGTCCATCACCTCACAACTCTGCTATGTCTGCCTCCGCTTTTTAAAAAAATTTTATTGAGGTCATAATAGTTTATAACATTGTTAAATTTCACTTGTACATTATTGTCAGTTACCATATAAATGTGCCCCTTTACCCCTTATGCCTACCCCCAACCCCTTTCCCCTCTGGTAACCACTACTCTGTTCTCTTTGTCCATGTTAGTTTATCTTCCACATATGAATGAAATCATATGGTGTTTGTCTTTCTCAGTCTGGTTCATTTCACTTAACATAATACCCTCAAGGTCCATCCATGTTGTTGTGAATGGGATGATTTTGTCTTTTTTTATGGCTGAGTAGTATTCCATTGTGTAGATATACCACATCTTCTTTATCCAGTATCAGTTGATGGGCACTTGGGTTGCTTCCATGCCTTGGCTATTGTGAATAATGCTGCCGTGAACATAGGGGTACATAAGTCTCTTTAAATTGTTGATTTCAAGTTGTTTGGGTAGATACCCAGTAGTAGGATGGCTGGATCACATGATATTTCTATTTTGAGGTTTTTGAGAAACCTCCATACTGTTTTTCATAATGACTACACCAGTTTGCACTCCCACCAGCAGCGTATGAGGGTTCCCTCCACAACCTCTCCAACATTTGTTATTTTTGTCTTAGTGATTATAGCCATTTAAACAGGTGTAAGGTGCTATCTTAGTGTAGTTTTGATTTGGATTTCCCTGATGATCAGTGGTGTTGAGCATCTTTTCACATGCCTGTTGGCCATCTGTGTATCTTCTTTGCAAAAATGTCTGTTCATATCCTCTGCCCATTTTTTGATCGAGTTGTTTTTTTGTTGTTAAGTTGTGTGAGTTCTTTATATATTTTGGAGATTAACCCCTTGTCAGATATATGATTTGCAAATATTTTCTTCCAGTTGGTGGATTGTCTTTTTGTTTTTATCCTGGTTTCCTTTGCCTTGCAGAAGCTCTTTAGTCTGATGAAGTCCCACTTGTTTATTTTTTCTTTTGTTTCCTTTGCCCGAGACATGGTATTTGAAAAGATCCTTCTAAGACTGATGTCAAAGAGTGTACTGCCTATATTTTCTTCTAGGAGTCTTATGGTTTCAGGACTTACCTTCAAGTCTTCGATCTATTTTGAGCTAATTTTTGTGTATGGTGAAAGATAATAGTCTACTTTTATTCTTTTGCATGTGGCTATCCAGTTTTCCCAATACCATTTATTGAAGAGACTTTCCTCTCCATTGTATGTTCTTAGCTCCTTTGTCAAAGATTAGCTGTCCATAGATGTGTGGTTTTATTTCTGGGCTCTGATTCTGCTCCATTGATCTGTGTGTCTGTTTTTGTACCAGTACCATGTTGTTTTGATTACTATGGCTTTGTAGTATATTTTGAAGTCAGGGATTGTGATGCCTCCAGCTTTGTTCTTTTTTCTGAGGATTGCTTTAGCTATTCAGGGTCTTTTGTTGCCCCCATATAAATTTTAGGATTCTTTGTTTTGTTTCTGAGAAGAATGTCTTTGGGGTTCTGATTGGGATTGTATTGAATCTGTAGATTGTTTTGGGTAGTATGGACATTTTAACTATGTTTATTGTTCCAATCCATGGGCTTGAAATATCTTTGCTTTTCTTTCTGTCTTCATTGATTTCTTTCAATGTCTTATAGTTTTCATTGTATAGGTCTTTCACCTCCTTGGTTAAATTTATTCCTAGACATTTAATTCTTTTTGTCGTGATTGTAAGTGGGATTGTATTCTTTAAACAGTCTTTTATTTTTTCAGAGAAGGTCTTACTCTTTTTATTTCTTTTTGAGGAAGATTGGCCCTGAGCTAACATCTGTTGCCAATCTCCCTCTTTTTTTTCCTCCCCAAAGCCCCCAGTATGTAGTTGTATATCCTAGTTCTTTTTTTTGTTTAAAGATTGGCACCTGAGCTAACAACTGTTGCCAATCTTCTTTTTTTGTTTTCCTGCTTATTTCTCCCCAAATCCCCCCAGTATGTAGTTGTATATTTTAGTTGTGGGTCCTTCTAGTTGTGGCATGTGGGACGCCACCTCATTGTGGCCTGATGAGTGGTGCCATCTCTGTGCCCAGGATCTGAACCAGTGAAACCCTGGGCCGCTGAAGCCGAGCACGTGAATTTAACCACTCGGCCATGGGGCCGGCCCTATACCCTAGTTCTAAGTTCTTCTAGTTCCTCTAGTGGGACGCTGCCTCAGCATGCCTTGATGGGTGGTGCTAGGCCTGCACCCAGGATCCAAACTGGCAAACCCCAGGCCACTGAAGTAGAGCATGCGAACTTAACTACTTGCCCTTGGGGCCGGCCCCAGGATTGTATTCTTTTTTTTTTTTTTTTGAGGAAGATTAGCCCTGAGCTAACATCTGTGCCAATCTTCCTCCATTTTGTATGCGGGACACTGCCACAGTATGGCTTGACAAGCAGTATGTACGTCTGTGCCAAGGATACGAACCAGCAAATCCTGGGCCACTGAAGCAGTGTGTGTGAACTTAACCACTACACCACCGGGCTGGCCCCAGACTGTATTCTTGAGTTCTCTTTCTGTTAGTCTGTTATTAGAGTATAGAAATGCACCTGATTTTTTAAGTTGATTTTGAACCCTGCAACTTTGCTGTAATTGTTATTCCTAATAGTTTTCCAGTGGATTCTTTAGGGTTTAATATATATAAAATCATCTCATCTACAAACAGCGAGAGTTTCACTTTTTCCTTTCCAATTTGGATACCCTGTATTTCCTTTTCTTGCCTAATTGCTCTGACCATCACCTTCAGTACTATGTTGAATAAGAGTGGCGAGAGTGGGTACTGTTTTCTTGTACCTGTTCTCAGAGGGATGGCTTTTGTTTTTTCTCTGTCAAGTATGGTTTTGGCTGTGATTTTGTCATATATGGCCTTTATTATGTTGAGGTATTTTCCTTCTATACCCATTTTATTGAGAGTTTTTTTTTTTTTTATCATAAATGGATGTTGGATCTTGTCAGATGCTTTCTCTGCATCTGTTGAGGTGGTCATGTGGTTTTTGTTCCTCGTTTTGTTAATGTGATATATCACATTGACTGATTTGCGGATGTTGAACCATCCCTGTGTCCCTGGTATAAATCCCACTTGATCCTTTTAATGTATTGCTCTATTCAGTTTGCCAACATTTTGCTGAGGATTTTTGCATATATGTTCATCAGCGTTA